GATTCAGTGGCAGGATAAACACTCCCATTTCCCCAGAATTGAGGCAGAACCTCCGCTTAATTCTCGAGAACAACCAAGTGCCTTCCTCCCTCTCTTAGACAGATGTCAATGCTCTCTCTCTTAGACAGATGTCCATGCTCCCTTTCTTAGACAGATGTCCGTGCTCCCTCTCTTAGACAGACGTCCGTGCTCCCTCTCTTAGACAGACGTCCGTGCTCCCTCTCTTAGACAGACGTCCGTGCTCCCTCTCTTAGACGTCCGTGCTCCCTCTCTTAGACAGATGTCCGTGCTCTCTCTCTTAGACAGATGTCCATGCTCCCTCTCTTAGACGTCCGTGCTCTCTCTCTTAGACGGATGTCCATGCTCCCTCTCTTAGACAGACGTCCCTGCTCTCTCTCTTAGACAGACGTCCGTGCTCCCTCTCTTAGACAGACATCCGTGCTCTCTCTCTTAGACAGATGTCCGTGCTCCCTCTCTTAGACAGACATCCGTGCTCCCTCTCTTAGACAGACGTCCGTGCTCTCTCTCTTAGACAGATGTCCGTGCTCTCTCTCTTAGACAGACGTCCGTGCTCCCTCTCTTAGACAGACGTCCGTGCTCCCTCTCTTAGACAGACGTCCGTGCTCCCTCTCTTAGACAGACGTCCGTGCTCCCTCTCTTAGACAGACGTCCGTGCTCCCTCTCTTAGACAGACGTCCGTGCTCCCTCTCTTAGACAGACGTCCGTGCTCCCTCTCTTAGACAGACGTCCGTGCTCTCTCTCTTAGACAGACGTCCGTGCTCTCTCTCTTAGACAGACGTCCGTGCTCCCTCTCTTAGACAGACGTCCGTGCTCTCTCTCTTAGACAGATGTCCGTGCTCTCTCTCTTAGACAGATGTCCGTGCTCCCTCTCTTAGACAGACGTCTGTGCTCTCTCTCTTAGACAGATGTCCGTGCTCTCTCTCTTAGACAGACGTCCATGCTCCCTCTCTTAGACAGACGTCCCTGCTCTCTCTCTTAGACAGACGTCCGTGCTCCCTCTCTTAGGCAGACGTCCGTGCTCCCTCTCTTAGACAGACGTCCGTGCTCCCTCTCTTAGACAGATGTCCATGCTCTCTTTCTTAGACGGATGTCTAGATGTCCGTGTTTCCTTAATTGTTCGGATAGTTTTTGCTCCTGGCTGTGTAACTTCTGGAGTTGTACTAGAGCAGGAACAACCCACCATCACCCTTACCCACGGAGGACACTTGGAGAGGGACGTGTCCTCCTCTGGTGGGGACCAAGAGTGAGCATGGCACGCGTCTGTGCACTTGTTTAATGAAGAGTAGTTATCAGACATTCCCAGGGTGTCATCCTGAACACATCCATGTGTGGGGTGCGGACTGCCCCCACCAACAGAAGAGAGAAGTCTGAAGGGTAACAAGGAAAAAGTGTAATTGAGTCTCATGAAAAACACGAACTTGAATCCCGAGAACCAAGTGCACGGGGTGCAGCCAAGCTGCCTGCCATCTTGGAGCATGAGTGGGCAGTACCCAGGAGAAGGAGCAGCACCACAGTCCAGCGAGGACGCATGGGCTCCAGAAAGACACATCAGCGTCCCTGCTGCCCTCGGAGCCCCGTGTCATCAGCACAGACCCTCAGTCCAGGGTCAGCGGCAGCTCCTAACTTTCTGAACTAGCGGAGGACCCCGCAACCCTCGAGGTCACCTTTGCGTGTACTGGGGTGGACACTGAGGGCTGCTTTGTTCCCGGGGCTCTGGCCCACGTGGAGCTCCTTCGGCCTTGGTCCCTCGCATCACACGCCATCGTGTGCCCTCCCCATCTCCTCTGTCGCTGCATGTGGGTGTCAGCCATTCGGCCTGCTGATGCGTGTTCAGCAGCTGTTACCTGGGATGCTGCCCCACCTCCCTCCCCTCTGGCTGCGTGTAAAGCACGCTGGACTCCTGAGCTGGGTCTGAGTGCCACGGCCTGGCGCCCCAGACAGCTTTCTCGGTTCTGAAGCTGCAAGTCCAACACCAAGGCTCTGTCGGCTTGGTTCCTGAGGCCCCTCCTGGACGTGTAGATGCCGTCTTTTCCTTGGGTCCTCACGTGGTCCCCCCTCTGTGTGCCTCTGTGTCCTGACTGCTTCTTAGGCCCCGTCCCTTTGGACTGGGGCCTCCTGGATGTCCTCAGTGTAACTGAATGACCTCTGTGAAGATCCTGTCTCCAGGACACCACGACCTGAGGTGTGGGGATGGACGTCGGCGTGTGCATTTTGGTGACTCAAGTCATTCCCTAACGACACGTAAGGTGACCTTCCACCTTCAGTTCCTAGAAGACAGGAACTCTGTTCTTGCCATCGCCAGAGCCTAATGCAGCGTCCAGCGCGTAACAGTTGTTCAGCCGACTCTTGGAGAATGGACTCCTGGAGCTCAGGAGGCCACGTGGGGTTGAGAGGGCACTGCATGCCACACTGCCCGCGTGGAGCCTGGCTGGTGGCCTGGAAGGTGTTCGGATGGGAAGTGGAGGCAGAGCCAAGCCAGCTGCCCCAGAAAGGCAGCGGTGGCGTTGCTGTGACGAGCACTGCCCACACCCAGCTCTGGGGGTTGCACGAGAGCAGAGAGTGACTGTTGGTGGCTGGCTCGCAAGCCCGCCGTCTCAGAGTTTCACAGGTAACAGAAGGAAGGAGGCTGCGAGGCAGATGGTGTTTATTTCCTGTAATCAACCCCCTCTTCCCCAAACCAACTGTGCTTTAAGAAAAAAAAGTGCCGGCCACGCCTCCCGGCGCTGCATGCAGGCCACTCAGGGCCCGCGACCAGCGGCGGAGGCCTCGGGCTGGAGATGACCCTCAGCACCTGCGGGAACCCCTCCCTTTCCTGCAGGCACAGTGACCACTTCCTGACTCAGACACTGGAAGAGCCCGATGAGCAGTGCCACCGGCCAGTGTGCGGCCGCACCGCCGCCTCTCAGGGCAGCAAGGAGGAAGGAGATAACTGCTCTGGCGTGGGCTCTGCTGTCGGGTGCACATGGCCCCTGGTCTTGGGCAGAAGCCATAGGTGTTCCTTTGCAGTCTCCTAAGGAAGCAGAGTGCTCAGAACGAACAGGAAGTCGACAGAGTACGTGGGCTCATTGCCGGGAGGCCAGGCGCTTTGCCCTGGGACTGGGCTCCGGAGAGTTCAGGATGGGTGCTTGGACCAGGAAGTGTCATTTGTCAAAAAGGAACGTCGCAGAGGGCCACAGAAGTGACGGCAGTGTTTACACAGTCTGCTCTCCGCGGCTCCCGTACGCCTACGGATTTCTACATGTTTCTCTATCAGCATTTTTCATTTCCAATGGAACTTTTTTAAATACTCCGAATATTTTTAAATTTTACTTAATCCATGCTTTTTAAAGGGGAGATGTGGAAATGTCATCATTTTATGTCCATTTACATGAAGTGAGTTCACAGTGGATCCCAGGTTACAGTCTCCTAAAGTTAAGCCCAAACTGGGATTTTTGTGTTTGACTTTGTTGTAAACCTTGAGAACAGCTTGTGTATTTTAGACATTAATTTTGTTTGCCTCACCCATTCCTGGGGTGGCTGCTCGTCCCGGGCAAGGCGGCCGGTGGGATTCTTCTGCAAGGAGATGGGCAGCGGGAGGGCATCTCTCAGGTGGCCCCGGGTCCGAGCAGCCGGGTCCCGAGTGAGTCTTGCCGGATGCGCTCTCAGTGCCCGAGGCCGCACGTGGTGGTGGCCGTGGGCTGGTGTCATCTGGGGAGAGGCACAGGTGATTTTCATCCCAGGATGTCGAGGGCAGCAAGACAGCAACAAAGGGAGTTTAAGGTCTGGAGATCCTGTCTCACCGCAGGCCCCCTCAGCAGCAGTGCGGCAGTGGGAAAGCCTTGGGGCAAGGCAGATAGGGCCGGTTCACAGGGTCAGGGTCAGCGAGGCGATGTCGCCGGGGTGCATTGCAGGCTGGGGTGTGCCCTGTGGGCTGCGGGCGCACAGCGAGGCCATCAGTGCTCAGCCACCCAAGGAAGGAGCACGGGACAGCTCTCCTGTCCCCGGCCTCTGTCCCAGCTGCGTGGGTTGCTGGGTGTTCACCCTCCAGGACCTGGAGTGACCTCCAGGTCTTGTCCATCTGCTGACTATGGTTTGCCCAGCGTGAGACCTCCTTACAGAGTTAGGTGTCCTAGGTGAGTTAACCCTGGCAGATGGAGGTTGGACTCTGTTTCTCCGCTTTCCAAACAGGCTTTGGCAGTTTTCCTCCCTGAACGCCAAGGGTGACTCGGGAGGTCTTGCTCCCAGGTCTGCCTTACAGCCGGCCTGGATCTGTGGTCCCCGTACCCAGTGCCCCGCGGCTGCCTTCACTGCAGGTCCTCTCTGTGGTGCCCGTACCCAGTGCCCCGCGGCTGCCTTCACTGCAGGTCCTCTCTGTGGTGCCCGTACCCAGTGCTCCGCGGCTGCCTTCACTGCAGGTCCTCAGTGCCCGACCGACTAAAGGAAGTTGCTCAGAGTCCAGCCTCTCTGCTCCACCGCCCCTAGCCCAGAACACGGAGGCTGGGGCCTCTGGACATGGTCCTGCTGGCTGCTCCCTCGTGCCGGGGCGCCTGGCTCCTTGGGCAGCTGGGCAGAGGGCGTGTTAGCGGCCACGAGCTGGAGAGAGCCTGGCCTGCCGCTTCCTCCCCTCCTGCACCCTGCGCCTGACGCAGTCATAGCAACCCCTGGCCGCCGCACCACCGTCACCCAGGAGTTCTGCAGGCGTGCTTACGCAGGCTCCTCTGCAGGTGAGGCCCCTGGCCGAGGGTGCCCCTCGGGATGTGCCGTCAGGCTGCTGCTTTGCCTGCTAAGGACGACACCGATGGATGGCTCCGCTCCATTGGCTTAGCCTCGGATGACGGCGAGCCTGGCCTCTCGGTGTGGCGCACAGCCGGAAGCCCGCTGGCCATCTGCAGGGGGATGCTTCCCCCGTGCTCTAAGCGGAATCAGGGAAACTTTGGCTGTGGGGTTGCGTGAGCTCAGAGTGGGTCCTGTCTGAGTGTGTCTGCTTCTCTGTGCCGTAGGTTGATTGCCAGGATGTCTCTGTGGGGGTCAGTCAAGGGCCAGCTGCAAACCAGGGCCTGGAGGGAAGGCTGCCTGAGGTAAGACCCGGTCCGCTTCCAACACCAGTGTAGGAGCGGGTTTTTTTTTTTAAGAGTTACTTTTTCATTTTAATATCTATCATAGGCTACTAAAATAACACATCAACCTGATACTATGACGACCTTGGAAATATAAACGTATAAATAATATAAACATAAAAATATAAACACAGTTTATAAAAAAAAAAAAAAACAAACACATAAACTGGAGCCCTGTGAGGCTGAAGTTCACGTTGTCTCCCCCTGCCGAGCCAAGCTCCTGTTTACCAAAGCGGATCTCAGGGTCTGAGACCGGCCCGTTCCTGGTGGGCGCACTCAGGCGGGTGAGGCTGGAAGACCTGGTAGTCACTGAGGAGTTGAGGGGGACGTGCGCTGCCGCTAACGCTGGCTGTGCAGCACGATTGCCTGTGAGACCAGAGTGGAAGAACATTAAAAAAAGTTCTGTTTCTTTCTGCTAAATTTTAGGGCTAAAGACATTTTGTATGAACACAGCTTCCTTGTTCGGACACCTTCCCTGCTTTCTCTGACGTAAGAGAATGTATTAAATTCATGTTTTCGCTTTCAGCGCCATTTCTGGAGGGGCACGCTGGGTAGCAGTTCCTGCCGCAGGGGCCGCAGGGCCCTGCCCGTGAGGGTGAATGCGGTTTGCCAGCAGGCCGCGGACCTGCCGATGCTGCCGTTAGGAAAGAGCAGCACCTGTGCAAAGTGAAGTTTGTACTCAGAGGCTCCCTGGTGCCGTCAGCCGGTGGTGCCTGCCCCGGCTGTGGCTGGCGTCCCAGTGTTTAAGGAACCTGGGTTCGCACCAAGTCTTTCAAGTGTTCGCTGCCTTGCTGGCAGGGGTTCCGTGCGCCGGCAGTCTGCGGTGCAGGCCAGCAGCCTGAGTCACGTGTGGTCCTGTGGGGCACGTCTGAGTCGGGGGGAGCCCGCTGGCGGGAGAGGCGGTGAACAGTCACTCCTGCCTGAGCCCCCTTGGCCTGGTCTTGCTGAGTGCGGCGGGAGGGAACTGAACTAGGGGAGCTTCACCCAGAACAGCCCTCGCACCGCACCGCCTGCGCAGCGGGTGGCCAGCAGTCAGGCTCTCCTTCCCCTGCGGCGCCAGGCTGAGACAGGTAGAACTTCTGCCTTTGTGTTAATCCTGGTGACATCCCCCCGAGGGGCTGCCGAGTGAGCCTGCAGGGAGCTCGCCCGGCCCGTCCCCGAGCTCGCAGAGGCAGCGCAGGTGCCCCGTCTCACCCAGGTGCTGCACCGAGCACCGGCTTCGGGGCTCCCGCCGCAGTTCTGTCTGGGCCTGTGCATGGTGCTCGGAGCGTACACGCATCTTATCCAAAATGACCTTTGACTCACTTGGTCCCGAGCCCATGACAGAGCAACTGGGGGTGGTCATCATCAGGGAAGCCGTCCCGAGCCACCGGCCACAGAGACGTCCAGGAGAGCTGGGCTGTGGGCGCACTGGGCACATCTGTCCCGGCCCCGGCCCCGGCCCCAGACGCCTGCACTACACGAGGCCCTCGGTCCTGTATGGCCATTCCGGGCTGGATGATGGAGGAGGACGGGGCTGGTTTTGGCCGAATGCTGCCAGACCTGCCTTGTGGAGAAAGAGGATATATTTGGGACACTTCCCCTTGTTCCAAGAGCTAACGTTCCCCTCGTTCTTTTTAAAACTGGGAGAAGGAGCACACGGGGAGGATTGAACCCCAGTAAATCCGGGACTGCAAGCGAAGGCGGGTCTGCAGGACCTCGGCTCCCCCGCCCCGGGCATCTGGGTCACGGCTCCGGGCCACTCCGGGCGGCCTCCCACCAGGCGCTCCTCTGCCCTGCGTCCTCTGCTGCTTGGGCGTCTCCCGCCCTGCGCTCACAGCAGGCTGGGCAGAGGCTGCTTTGTTTCTGTTTTCGTCTCGAGGCCTAAAATCAAGTGGAATGCTCAGTAGTAGGCGCTTAGAACATGAGTCACGAGTGCAGAGCAGGGAGCAGGCCGCACCAGAGGGGAAAACCTCGTGAGCATGCTAGACACGCAGCTCGGCTGATGGCTTTTGCTGTTTTTCCTCAACGTTCCTCCCGGATCTCTAGCTCTTCAGGTCCTCTCGCTGTGTAAGTTTCATAGCGGTAGAAGGTCACCAAGACAGAGTTCAAGTGCAGGGAGGTAGGCCGGAAGGTTGATGTTTATTTAAAAAAAAAAAAAAAAAGTTCTCATTTGAAAGGCAGAGAGAGGAGAGATACCGTCCATCTGCTGGTTCGCTCCGCACACGGCCACAACAGCCAGGCTGGGCCAGGCGGAAGCCGGAAGCCAGGAGCTCCGTGTGGGTCTCCCTGAGTGGCAGGGGCTCCAGCATGTGAGCCATCCGCTGCTTCCCAGGCACGTCAGCAGGGAGCTGGATGGGAGGTGGAGCGGCTGGGACGTGACCCAGCGCTCTGATACGGGATGCTGGTATTCTGAGCTGCAGCTTAACCTGCTGTGCCACAGCGCCAGTGCCCTGCCCTGGACAGGTGTTCTGTGTACTCCCCGAGGAACAGACGGATCAGGACCGCAGAGGCACTTTGTTAAGGCCAGCTGTGTCCAGTGGAGTTGTTGAGTGAGAGGCATCTGTGAACTCGGGACTCCCCTCCCTGCCTGGCCTCTGGCAGGTACCAGCTGCTGGATTATTCTTGCGTCTACGACCTTCAGTTCATTGCATCCTGAGCCGTGCCAGCTGGGCGAGGGCGGCCTTTATGTTAAGGACACCAGGATTATGGAGGTTTTTTTTGTGAATCTTAAGATTATGTACCTACATTTCAAGATTGAAATGGTTTTCACGACTGCAGGGAGCCTGCCCCGTGTTGCGCTTTAGGAATTTTTATCCAGACCCTTAAGGCTGTGTGAGGGTTGAAATCTGTCAATTCTCTGTTATGGTCCCACCGGTATTAAACAATACTAAAACAACCTCCAAAATCAGCCCGAGAATGGAGCATAAAAGTACACACAGAATGCGTTTTCCGTATGTCCATGAAGTAAGTGTGTCTTGTAAAATTTAGTCACCCACATGTTTAACACGGAAAGTCTATACAGTCTAGAAGATTTCTTGAAATTGAATTATCTGTTGTGTTCAGTTCACCCTGGGGCTGCTGGAAGTTCTTGGTCTCAAGTTGTGTGGAAGTTCATGGCTTGTGGGTCCTTCTTGAACAGAAACTCCACTGGTACCTTCCAACAGCAGAGTGTGGCCTCATTTTAGTCTGCGTGCTCAGGTCTAGTCGGATTGGCACATGTGGCCTGCGGGGACCTGAGGAGCAGAGCCCAGAGGACGCTGTCTCCAGTAAACCTCCACTGGCCACTCGAGTGTCGACTGTTCCCGTCTGCACTGGGCCTGAGCTCCACTGACCCTTATGTCGTGGGGGCAGATGGGCTTCCTGTCCTGTTGGTCACCCCTGCACCACTGGCCAGCAGGGGCAGCACAGTGGCCTTGGAACATTCTAGTGGGAAGCAGAAAACCACACCGCACTCCCTGGGATTGTGGGGAGAGCCTGGCAAAGCCTCCACAGACCTGGCCTGGCCTCTGTCACCCACCCTGCCCCCGGCCCTGGTGTCCCCATCCCCCCTTCTCTGCAGCCACCCAGGCCCATTCTTGCTACCACTTCTGCCTCTGACCTTGGGGTCCACACACACACAGTGTGCCAGGTGCTTCTAGAATGAGCCATACGTAGAAAAGGTTCTTGAAATGTTCTTATCGTGTGTTAGATGGCAGACTGCCACCTGCCCCCTTCACACCCACTGAGCTCTCAGACAGGTCGCCTCGTAGCGCTCCCAGGAGCACCTCGTGCCCAGCCTGACATGGTCCCCCAAGAAACTGCCAGAAACGGCCCCCCAAGCCCACCGCGGAGCTGCACTGCTCCCGCGTGGCTGGCACCCCCACCAGAGCCCCTGATTTGTCCTGAACAGAGGCAGCTCGTGTGCCGGTGCCTCTTGCCCCTTAATACGCACAATTCAGGTGACCTGTTTGATACGGAAGTGCTGTGTGCAAAACACGGGCTGCGAGGATACAGAATGAGTGGAAGAAGCGCGGTTTTCAAATGGTTTCTGCAGCGTGACTAAGTTTGTTTGTGTGTGTGTGTATTTGTATGTGTATCTGTGTATCTCTGTATGTGTGTTTATGTGTATGTCTGTATCTGTGTGTGTGTGGCTGTGCGTGTGTGTGGGGGTATGTATGGGGGGCGGTGGGGGTGTGTGTCTGTGTGTGTGTGGGTCTGTGTATGAGTGTCTCTGTCTCTCTGCATCTGTGGGTCTGTCTACTCCGCAGGGAGGTCTTCCCGTCCCAAAGGAAGTGAACCGCAAGAAGATGGCCGGGACCAGCGCTGCCTCCCCGACCCCACCGGGCGGCCATGGACTGCGCGCCCCGGGCGTCAGCTACCGCCACTCTTTCTGATCCACCTTCATTTGTATTGCGTATGGTGTATGGGGATTGATGAGGTCATGGTATCATATATGGGATTTTTTTCTGTGTAAATCATCGAGTGTAAGAAGAAACCATGGGACTCTGAGCCCTGCTTTAGAGAATTTACCTTGGACAAGTAGGGATCATCACTCCAGTCTTCAGCCGTTCTGACTCAAGTGGAACGCTCAGAAGTTCACACTGTGAATCCACGTTTACAGACCCTGCAGGTGGGCCCACAGGCCTGGTCGTCACAGCAACGTCTTCCACAACTCACACCCCTCCGTGCACACCGCCGGTCCACTCCTGTCTTCCACGCACACAGCTCCCGACTGCTTCCGGCAGAGGCTGAGAGTCCCCCCCCCCTTTTTTTTTTCATTTAGCTGTAACAAGCCTAGTAGTTTATGTCCATCAACTGTCTGTATATCTATATTTTGCCCATGTACTCCTTTGATGTATAGAAGTAGTTGACACTCATTGTTTCCTTGTGGTAAGTGACGAGATGCTGCCACAGGACCTGAGACACTGATGAATGGTGCTATTTTGGACTTCTCAACATGCTCCCTGGCGAGGTAGCTCTGATGGAGTTATTTTTTATTTCCATGTTCCGAGAAGGCGTTGGTCCTCTGTCCCCCTGAGTGTTGTTCTCGCGACTGGACTGACTTGTTTCCCTTGTCTGCAGTGTGCTGCTTCCTCAGTGTGGTCGTGGAGTGGGCTGCCAGAGCACGTGGAGGCCGGGCCCCGCGGCCGGCGCCCACGACACGCAGGCCCGGCCCGGCGGTGGGGGCGATCACAGAGCTAGCTGAGGGCCAGAGCTCTTCCTTGCTGTTGCCTCGCCTGCCTGACGTAGAGAAAGAAAAGCAATAATTTTACAGGCGTTTTTGAGGTGTCTCTTGGGGATCTTTGACAGGATATTTGGAAAACAAAAGGGTCAATTCTTTTCTAATAAATGCCCTCTGAAAAAGCCAAAGGAATACAAAATTGCGCCTTTCCCAAAAGCTAAGCTGGGCAAGGTCTCATGACAAAAATACTCACGACAATCGCAGGAGTGAGGCGGAGAGCAGCCTCTCAGCAGATTTCGACACGCAAGGTGCAGATTTTACACTTTTGTCCTTGCTCCCAGTGAAGGGAAAAACAAAACCCGAATCAGACGGCCCACTGCGCGGAACGCTGTTGTGCCGGCCAGCCTGGACGCCCACCTCGACTGTTAGAGAGCTGTCCCCGGCTCTGAGCTGTCCCCGGCTCTGAGCTGTTCCGCGACACCGACGATGCATGCGCTGACCTCTGCCGCCGCCTCCCGCGCCCCCAGCCTGAGTCCCGCGTGCGCTTCTCCCGCACCCCGTGTGTTAGCCTAGGTGAACCCGTGTACATAGAGCGAGACGCTGGCTCCTGCATCTGTGGCGTTTGCGTAGCGTGCAGCCCTGTGCCGCTGGACTCGCAGGCTTTTGTAACGATGCGATCCTTCCTGACGCACTCCTGAGAAGTACCCAGTGTATTTTAGCTACTTTAGTAGTATTTGTTCAATAAACATGCAAGCTGTAAGGTGACCGTCTGACTGGGCTCGTCACTGGGGAGGCCTGCCTTTGAGTGCCGTCGTGGGTCTGTGCTCCTTGCGTTCCCAGAGCCCCACAGTCGGGCTGATAAACCCAAGGGCAGATAGCAAAAGACAGGAGAGCCAGGCCTGCCTTTCCTGCGTTTCCCCTCTTCACGGGTTTTGTGAGGCGAGGGGCGGGGCCTTGGCTCTGTGTTTGCAGACACGTGAGAGAATTAGACCAGGAACCTTCCCTGGTTCACATCTTCTCCCTCAGAGCCTCCCGCACAGCTTGCGCATGGTCTGTCTCCCTCCTGGTGTTGAGACCTGTCCAGAACTCCGTCTACACCCGGGACGCTGCGCGTGCGCCACTGTAAGAGCCACCTGAGTCTTAGGCAGCCCACCCCCTGCCGTCAAACCTCGCCTGGCCTTTCCTGTTCAACAACGGTGCTTTTTCGCAGGCAGAGACTTAAAACTCTGTGAGAGAAGGAAAACTCGAGACAGGGTCTGAAGTCGCCACGACTTCCCCGGTGTGCACCCAGCTGTGCCAGCCGAGCCCTCGCGGGACCAGAGACGCAGCCATGCTGTGCGGCTCATCGGTGGTGCTCCCCCTGCCGGCTGGTCCCCCTGCAGGCTGCTGTGTTGGCTGGTTGGCTTTAGATTTGGGTTTCCCCCGAATCAGGACCCAGGGACAGACCTCTTGCGATGAGAGCCCGAGAAGCAAGGGAGAGGAGCCGATGGTCACGTGGCTCCACGGGGGCTGCTCGGGCTGCGGGGTGGGCACCAGCCGCCCTCTGAGAGTTCTGGGCCTTGATGACGTGGGCGTCGGGAGGGGGTTTCAGCTGGGGGTTGCTGAGTTTAGCTTGGGATCAGTGCCCATCTCAGACCTCGCCTGCGTTCCCTGTAGGTCCTCAACTTGGAGTCTCAGCAAGACAGAGGAGGCGAACCCCAGCCGCTGTCAGGGCATCAGTGTGTTTGGCCTGAAGCAAGGTCGTAGGGTGGGAATCGCAGCCCGAGGCTTTTCCCGTGGGTCCAGGGGAACTCCAAATCTGACCACTTTGCACCTCACGGACCATCCCCGCTTCCTCACCTGATAGGCTCCCGTTCCTGTGAGGGGCACCTTGCCTGCTCGGCATCGCCGCACTGGGAGGGGAAGGCTGTGGGGGTGATGCAGCTGGGGTTGCTTTGTGCCTGTCTCTGTTTTGGAGCTGTTGCCGCACAACCAAGTACACTGCCCTTTGCATCCTGAGACGACAGACGTGGCTCACGGATTCTGTGGGAGAGGGTCGGGTCAGTCATCTGGAGACGCGCCCGTGCGTGGCACACTGCAGCGGCTGCTGCCTGGGTGTCTGTCCCTGCTCCCGGGCCTCTCCCAGAGTTCTAGAGTGTGTCCAGGAAGTCTGCCCAGGGTTCCACAGCCTCCATTTACAGGTCTCGGTGCTGTCACTCCACAGGGTGCTCAGAGAATGCACCTGGAGGCTGTAGAGACCGAGTGGGGACCACGGATGTGCACAGCGCCATTCAGCTCTGAGCGGTGGGTTCTCCGCGAAGGTCGAGCATGAGGGGGCTGACCCCACACTTCCCTGACACCTGCAGGACCCCTGAGGTCGGCCTGGCCTTGCTGAGGGTTAGTGACCACTCGGCAGAGCGGAGAAGTGGAGACTGCCGTCAGCAGGAGACCAGACCTCGAGTGGAGGCTGCCTCGCCCTCACTGGAGACAATGGCGTTGGCTGGAGATGGCTAGTTCCAGACCAGCTGTAACTCGGGGGCTGGTCCGTTTTACCCACGTGCGTTGCCCTTTGTTGATGCAGTTGCCAACACTGGCAAGTGGGAAGATGCCACGTGAAAACCCAGGGGGACCCGTGGAAGATGGAGCCGAGATGGGCCTGAGCCGCTTGTGCTGTGGGGGGAGGCTCGGCTGCTGGGTGGCCCGACGTCACCGCGTCTCCTCACTCCCTCTGCCTCCCTGTGAGGACGAGGGGGCGCTGAAGCAGCGCTCTGCTCCGGGGATCGGCCGTGCACCTGTGGCACCCACCAGGGGCCAGGGGCTGGCCTCTGGTACTCTCATTGCCTGATAGCCCAGCATCTACAGGACAGGGCCGGAACAGGGGCCCCAGTGCCGATCCCCAGACCCGGCACTGCAGCTCCAGCCGTGCCTCTGCGGGCCCTCTTGGGAACTCTGCCATGGTCCTCGCCGTGAGATCTCACGGGAAAAACATCTTAGATGGTGTCGGGTTGGGCCATGTGTGGGCGTATGGATCAGTGCTTCTCAGACGTGGGCATGAGAACCTGCAGGTGTGTGATGGCCCGGGAGTGCGCGCTCACTGGGTGTTTTAGGGAAATTGATTTCTAGACCCTCTGCGTGTTCTCGTCTCTGCTGCGGCTGAGTCTGTGTCCCCTGCTGACCGCCCATACCTCACCCCTCCTACACGTTGAGAGGAATCATGACCACTGACGTGACACTGACCCAGACGTGGCCGACCACAGCCCCTCGAGGCTTTACTGTCACACGTCACAGGCGATAGGATGTCGGATGAAGAAGGAGTCTGGATTCCGTGTGGACCTCCAGGCGTCAGCTCTAGGGTGAGGTGGAGTGACGGGAGGAACGGCGGTTCTCACGCGACGCCTCTGCTCTTCCTCCTCCCAACTCCCGACAAAGAAGGCCTTGCTGTGGCGGGCAGTGCCGAGCAAAGAGGAGATGGTGGGAGACACCACGCACCCCAGTGGCTTCTTCCCATTGGCATGCGTGGCTGCGAGCCCAGAGGATGTGTCTGGACCAGGGAGAGAGCGACGTGGCCACAGCCGAGGCAGGGGAAGTCTGCATGCTGGGGGTCGTGAGTAATACACGTTTATTGTCGAGTATCGGCTCACACAGTGATGGGAGCTGAGAAGCCCCAGGCCTGGCCCCTGTGAGCTGGAGGCCCAGGAGAGCCGGACTGTGCCTCAGGGGGCTGGGGGCCGACTGTGCACGCCCCAGTCCACGCCCCAGGCTGAGCAGCCTACGGGCCAAGCACAGAGGAGCAGTGCAGCAGCTCAGGTGGCCCAGCTACGATGAAAAAAACCTCCTCCTCTTTGTTCTAGTCAGACCTCTGGGTGCACTGAGCCACTGTGCTGGGCATGTCTTGCCCCTCACTAACTCACACACTCACCTCTCCTACAGACGGCCTCACAGACACACCCAGACAGTGTTTAATCAGCGGCCGAGTCGGCACGTGGAGCTGACCGTCACTCCTTCCCTCGTCAGCCGGCTCTCAGAAAGTCTCCGCCATCCTGTTGACCTGAGAACTGAATGGATAGAGTTGTGTGGTGTCTGTGAGAGAAACTATGTTAATACAGCAGAAATCCTGGAACCAAAAACTGGGGTCTCATGGCGCAGTCTCAGAAATCAGGGGTGGGAGGGGAGGGACATGGGGCAGCGTGACAGGGCCCTGTGGTCCCCCCAGCCTGCCGTGTGTCCTCCCCAGCCTCTCCTGTGTCCTCCCCAGCTTCTCCTGTGTCCTCCCCAGCCTGCCCTGAGTCCTCCCCAGCCTGCCTTGTGTCCTCCCCAGCCTGCCCTGAGTCCTCCCCAGCCTGCCCTGTGTCCTCCCCAGCCTGCCCTGTGTCCTCCCCAGCCTGCCCCGTGCCCTCCCCAGCCTCTCCTGAGTCCTCCCCAGCCTGCCCTGTGTCCTCCTCAGCCTGCCCTGTGTCCTCCCCAGCATGCCCTGTGTCCTCCCCAGCCTCTCCTGAGTCCTCCCCAGCCTGCCCCGTGTCCTCCCCAGCCTGCTTGTACTCCCCCCCCAACCTGCCCTGTGTCCTCCCCAGCCTCTCCTGAGTCCTCCCCAGCCTGCCCTGAGTCCTCCCCAGCCTGCCCCGTGTCCTCCCCAGCCTGCCCAGTGCTCCTCCCCAGCCTGCCCCGTGTCCTCCCCAGCATGCCCCGAGTCCTCCCCAGCCTGCCCCGTGTCCTCCCCAGCCTGCCCTGTGTCCTCCCCAGCCTTCCCTGTGCTCCTCCCCAGCCTGCCCTGTGTCCTCCCCAGCCTGCCCTGTGCTCCTCCCCAGCCTGCCTTGTGTCCTCCCCAGCCTGCCCTGTGTCCTCCCCAGCATGCCCTGTGCTCCTCCCCAGCCTGCCTTGTGTCCTCCCCAGCCTGCCCTGTGTCCTCCCCAGCCTGCCCTGAGTCCTCCCCCAGCCTGCCCCGTGTCCTCCCCAGCCTGCCCCGTGTCCCCCACAGCCTGCCCCGTGTCCCCCCCAGCCTGCCCTGTGTCCCCCCCAGCCTGCCTTGTGTCCTCCCCAGCCTGCCCTGAGTCCTCCCCAGCCTGCCCTGTGCTCCTCCCCAGCTTGCCTTGTGCGCCCTCAGCCTGCCTTGTGTCCTCCCCAGCCTGCCCTGTGCCCCCCCAGCCTGCTTGTACTCCCCCCTAACCTGCCCTGAGCTCCTCCCCCAACCTGCCCTGTGACAGGAGCCACCACGGCAGACACGCTTGCTCCCCCTGGACTCACACACACTGCCAGGGCATAGTTATCAGCAGGATGTGCACACCCGCTGGTGGGGACGCCGTCTCTGTGTGGGTCTCCAGGGACCTTCTGGTGGGGTGGCTGTCCCCTCTCCACAACACATGACCCCTCCCCATGCTGTGCGGCAAACTGAGGCATAAGACGGCCACTGCCAGGTGCACCCAGAAAAACTGCGGTGCCTTGGTTCATCGGCTGAAAATGCGTGACCGTGACCTTTCTGGAGGATGGAGTTGAAGGGACAATTGTTCTTGGAAGGAGGGAACGGCCGCTCAGGGAGGGGTGTACAGATGGAGGACGCTGTGGGGAGCGTTGAGGGAAGCGGGGAGTGGCAGGTCTGTAGCAACAATCGCATCCGCAGCCTTGGGGGCGGGAGCGCCAGGGCAGCTCTGGATGGTGGAACTGGAAGGGGCCGGAAGGAGGCAGGAGAAGCTGCAGGCTGGTGCGCTGTGTGTCTCCTGTGGTAGGGCCTTTGGGAAGTGAGGAATGAAAGGGCAGCATCCAGGCCCTGCATCCAACTGCTCCTGTAAGCAGACGGAGGACACAAACGGGGTCAGGTCGGAAGCGGTGCTGCAGGCTGGGAGGGGGGCAGCGGGGCGTGAAAGGTGCGACAGCCCATACAAGTGTCGGGTGGAAAGCCGGGCTGGCCTGGGCAGTTAGATAAACCCTGGGGGCTTGGGTTCGGCCATCCTAGTCCCACAGACAGAAACTGGGGAGGGTCTCCGGTCAGGGTGAACGCCACGTTCACTTTGCGCACGGAGAGAAACAGGACCGGAACTTTTGGGGAAGCTGCGAAGGAGTCACCAACAGGCCCAAGGCAGGGCTTCAGGGAAGGATGGTGACTGCTGGCCTCGGTCTGCCCAGGTAAGCCGTCTTAGGATCGTGAGGTCTTTGGGGTGACTGGGGTCCTGTGCAGTCCATTCCAAGGGCACACAGTCGAACCACGGGAACTGGGCAGTGCACGTGACTGGCACCTTCAAGGACTTGGTGGAAAATGAGACTTGGAACTGACAAGGCTGCCTGCTCCCAGGGTAGAGAAGCAGAGGTCGTATCGGGGAGGAGGTAGATAAAATAGTGCAGAGAATGGATTTCCCGGGGTGGACGGAGGACACATTTAAATGCACGTCAGTGACGACAGGAACATCTGAAGGTCAGTCACGAATTCACAGCGGACGGGGTCCCCAAGCAGCGGAAGCTGGACAGAAGCTGCCGCGTCCGTCACAGCAGGGAGTCGTGGAGCTGGAGTTCCGTGCCGAAGCTTCCATGACGTGAGGAGAATGGAGGCTCAGCGAGCCGATGGCTTTAGGCAGAGCAGTCGAGGGTGGCGGAGGAGGCGGAGAAACGAACCAGCCTCCGGGAGGAAGGAGCTCACCATCATGTCTGTGCCGGGATCACATCAGCCAGCACCAGGAAGGCCGCTTGACAAACCCCAAACCATCCATGAGAAGACGTCTAAGAAAAATAGGCATGGGGGAGCTTCCTCAGCTTGGTAGAACTCACACACAGAACCTCCCGGGTGACGCAGTCCTTGATGGTGACACTGAATGCTTCCCTCCAAGAGCGGGAACAGGAGGATGTCTGCGCTCAGTGCTTACGCCGTGCAGCGCCACTGCAGTAAGGCATTGTGGGACAGGCAAACAAAAGGCCTGTGGATCTGAAAGGAGAAACGAAATCTGTCCTGATTTGCATACGACACAATTGTCTATGTAGAAAATCCCAAGGGATCGACACAGACATTCCTGTGACTAATGAGTTTAGCTGGGTTGCAAGAGATAAGATAAATATACAAAACACCATTTTTATATCTATCCTGGCAGTGAAGCCCATGTACATCAAAACTAAAACTCAAGTATGTGATCACTCAAAGTAAGTGGAACTACCTAGGGGTGACGTGACAAAACGTGGAAGGATTGTGTGAGGACGACTGCAGGATGCCAGTGAAGCAACCAAGGGGCGTTACCAAGGTGGAGACACCGCGCTCACAGACTGGATGACCCAGCACGGAAGACACGTTGGTTCTCCCCGGTGAGTCTATACATGAACACAAGTTCTGTCAAAATCCCAGTGAGTCTTGTTATGGATAAGGCAGACTATCCTAAAAGTGTAGGAAAGGCAAAGGAGCTGATGGGGCTAAAGCGACTTTGAAAAACTGTGAAGTTGGAGGACTCCATTAAATTTTGAGACTTAATGTAGGGACTGGCACTGTGGAGTAGCGGGTAAAGCCACTTCCTGCAGTGCTGGCAACCCATATGAGCGCCAGTTTGAGTCCTGGCTGCTCCACTTCCAATCCAGCTCTGCTATGGCTGGGAGATAAATAGATGGCCCAAGTGCTTGGGCCCCTGCACCCATGTGGAAGGCCCAGAAGAAGCTCCTGGCTCCTGGCTTCGGATTGGCCCAGCTCCAGCCGTTGTAGCCATTTGGGGAGTGAACCAGTGGATGGAAGACCTCTCTCTCTCTCTCTCTCTCTCTCTCTCTGCCTCTGCCTCTGCCTCTGCCTCTATAACTCTGCCTTTCAATTAAAATAAATAAAAATCTTTTAAAAAAGACTCACTATATACTACAATAACCAAGAGTGTGATCTTAGCAGAAACATAGACCCAGGTCAGGGGACCACTGGAGAAACCAAAGCAGACACACGGATACGCCCGGTCGGTGTTTGTGCAGACAGAGGCTCTGCAGGAGGAAAGGAACCCTTTCCAGCCGAGCGTCCTGGGCACCTGGACACCCACAGCAAAGAGAAGGAAGCTGCACCTGCCTGGTGCCTTCCATGCGTATTGACTCAACATGGTGACAGCCTTTGTGTGCGACGCGAAAACTGTGAATGTTTTAGTGAAACACACAGGCGGATATTCAGAATCTGTGGCTCGGAGAAGAGTTCATAGACCTGACACCGAAAGCACAGCCCATGGAAGGAGCAGCTGATAACCTGAAGTTTATGAAAATTCGGTGAGAAGTTGATTAAAATTTGATGAAAGACTCATGAAGAGGAGGAAAGGATAAGATATGGACTGGGCAGATACACTGACAAACGGCACACTTAGAGAGTAATACCACCTGGAATACGGGGTGCCTGCTCCAGACCATGGCAGTAAAGCCAATGCGCACATCACCGTGAACTGAGCACACCTGTTTTGGTTTGTTGTTAATTTGCATTATTCTGTAGCCTGAAGTGTGAAACAGCACAATGAACATTAATTTAAAAATATCACGAAAAGCATGAAGAGGCAATCGATCCCTTCAGTGAGCCCACCCTGGGGGTGGGGTCCTGCCGCGCTGGTGGCCCAGGGCTGTGGCTCTGAGAACAAGGACTTTGCCACGCCGATGGGCTCTTAAGGCTCCTCTGCCCCACGCCACGCTGTGTGGCAGTGTCTCACCTGACAAGAGCTGTGTCCTCTCGCAGCCTGCCCCGTGCTGCTGGGCCCCGAGTTCCCGCCCTGCTCTGAGTTCTTGGACGGTGCCCACCGGCTCTTCACCGGGGCGGACTCCTTCTTGAGGAACCGCTTTCCTGGCTGGCGCATGGGCAGCAGCCCCACCCCCATGACAGCCACGCCCGAGACAGCCCCAGTGCAGCCCCCGCTGAAGGCGCCACTGCTTGCTGTGTCCACCGCATCTGCACTCGCCTCCTCCCCTGCCGGCCGCCCCAGAGGCTTCAGTGTACTTGGCCCAGAGGAACCGCTGTCCATGGCAACCATGGCCTCACAACATGTAATTCCCTTTTGTAAAAGTAATACTGGAAAACACTTAAAAATCCACCTTATGTGAAATGCAGAGACAGAGAGATGAGAGATTTTCCACCCACTGATTCACTCCCCAAATGCTAGCAACAGCCATGGGTAAGCCAGGCCAAAGCCAGAAGCTAGGAACTCAATGCAGGTCTCCCATGTGGGTGGCGGGGACCCAAGTAATTGAAGCACCTGCTGCCTCCCAGGGTCTGCATCAGCAGGAAGCTGGAATTAGAAGTGGAGCCAGGACTTGAACCCAGACACTCCAACATGGGATGCAGGTGCCCCGAGAGCCATCTGCACACCTAATGTTAAGTAACAAGACTTGAAGGTCAGAATGACTCCCTGGTCACTGGGCTGCAGCGTGGGTGTTGTGACTGCAGGCATGAAAACACTGTTAATCTCGTTGTGCACCCCCTCGGAGCTCCTGAGAGACGGGGGGCATTATCAAAGAGCAGTGATATTTTGATTTTTTTCCTGAGACGTCGATCTCTATGCAGTGACCCACATTGTGAACAGACGTGCTGTCATCCAGGCTGTGTCCATCAGAGACACCAGCGGAGGACGGTTAGTGAAATTCTTAAGGGGCGTGGCATTTTCAGAATAGTAGGCAAGTCTGGCTTACCGTCACCCTAGGGAGTCAGCGAGTCCCTCCGGGAAGCTTCGAAGCCAAGCACGGTCCTCTCCTCGTCGGCCACGGAAGTCCTCGCCGGCTGCTGCTTCCAGGAGGCGGCTGTGCCGTCTAGGTTGAATCTCTGTCTCTCGGAGGCTGCCTGCGCCAGGGACCCCGGCCCGGTCTCCTGTGCAGCCCGGGCAGCTTCAGTATCCGCACACACTGCTGCCCCTGCGCGGTCCTGCTGCAGACGGGGCCTCCGAGGGCGGAGCCTGAGCAGCCGCTGTCTCACTTCTCCTCCGCAGCGTCCTCCCGCGCTCAGCAGCCGCAGGTTTGGAGAGTTAGGGCCCCACCTGGACTGGGTTGGGTTAGGGCGATGCTGTGGCGGGTGTGCTCTCTGGCCTTCTCCACATTACACACGCAGTGCGGCTTCGCATCCTCACCCCGCCTGGGCTCACGCGGGCCACCCTTCTCATCGCCTTCTGCTCCCGGTGTGGCACGGGAGGCCTGGCTGCCGGCCCCTCCAGGCTCAGCCGTGTCTGGCTGTTGACATACAGCAGGAGACTTAGAGCAACTCCTCCTTCCGCTGGAACACCTAGAAGTCGTCGTAGGGTGGTTGATGGCCTCCTTGCAGTATTTTGGGGTCTCAGGGAACCGGGAGACCTGGGAGGAGGGCAAGACGGGACTGGCTGGTCTGTGGAGCCTTCGTAATGTCTGTCGTCTGTGAAGCTCCCTGCCTCGTATGGGTGAGTTCCATGGGCCCCAGACCACCGCTCCAGCAACACCCGAGACCAGTGGTCCTAGAGCCCCATGCACATGTCATGAGGAGGATGTCTGAAACGCGGGGGTTGCTGGGAGTGACAGGTGTGGGGCGGCACCCGCTGCCGCAGGGCATGCTCCACCCAGGGAGCTGCGGCCGTGTCCATGAGGCGCGGTCACCTGGGACCCGCCCGCCTGCAGGGACTCCCGGAAGTCGTGCAGGCACTGTGCTCTGCTGGTAGCAACGAGGAGGGGCACGGCATCTTTGCAAAGCACCCTGGTCACTTTCCAGAACCTTCTGACGTTGCAGTCCACTCTCGGGTGTACACACTGTAAGACTGACAACACGCGCACACAAAAGCTTGCCCCAGTGTTAACTCACAGCAGCCCCTCCAACAACTGACACGGTACATTGATGTATCGCGTTACACTGCCATAAAAAGGGAGTGCGGAGACACGGAGACACACCACAGCATGCAGGAGGTGAGGGAATCCAGTCACTAAGGCACGCGCTGCCTGAACAGGTCATCCGTGGAGCTAGACAGAGGATTCGGGGTGCCCTCCTGAGGGAGAAGGGGCTGTGAGTGATTGCTCGTGGATATGGGGTTGCTTTTTGAGCGACATCTTCCGGAATAATACAAGAGGTTCCCAAGAAGTTCCTGCAGAATGATGTGAAGCATGAAAAAACAAGGTTTCAACTCTTTTGCACCGAAATAAGCTTATCTTTAAATTCCATTTTCCACACATTTTTGAAGTGTGCTTATACACTGTGCAATGGCTCCACAACCCTCAGGATATGCTAAAAACGACTGGATTACACACGCTAAAAGGGTGAATTTTATATGTGAGTTGTATCTCAATTTTCAAAAGTTCAACAGTAAAAAATACCAGACAACCCACCTGCAAGTGACAAATCCATGCAATGACATTTCACCAGGGAGATTGTACAGACGCTGGGACGCCAGGGGTGGGGGGCTGCTTCGCGTCATCGGTTGCTAGGGAAACGCTGGGTGGAGACAGGCGCACCACACCTGTCAGTGGGAGCAAAGGGAAAAGCAGCACCCGGTCCCGCTGCTGGCGAGGGTTGAGCACTGTGAGTGTGGCTGGTGGCTGGAAACCATGTGGCAGTTTCAAAACACGGGGTCTGCCGCCAGCACTCAGCTCAGCTCGGCAGGTGCCCTCCTGGGGAAAGGACAAGCCGTGTTCACGTGGCGACCTAGCGCGAGTGCCCGGGGCAGCTCGATGCACCCTTCACTGGGCTCAGCGCACCGCGGGCACCCACCCGTGAGCGCTCCCCGGCCCTGCCCGGGGCCTGCGCCTCGGGCACCAACCTGGAGACGCTCCGGAGAGGTGGGCGGAGTGAGGAAAAGCCAGACCCAGGTCGCACGCTGTGTGTCTGTGAGCCGGACGGCACGACTGTTTCGGGGAAAAGACAAAACTGTACAGATAAGCAGCAGGTTTGTGGTTGCTGGGGGCTGAAGAGGGGGTGCAGGCGGGTGGGAAGCCACGCCCAGAGGGCTCCCTGGGGAGGGGCGGGGTCCGAATCCCAGCGGGACATCCTCAGGAACAAGGATGGAGAGCACGTGGCCCTGTGCCTTCTGCCTCACATGCTGCACTCTGCAAGCACCACACAGCGCGGCACCTCAGACGCCCACGGGAACAGCCTGCAGAGCGCAGGGACTCGGCCGCGCTGTCCACCGCTCAGGGCGGTGCCTGCTCCTGGCGCCCCGGGAATGCCGGGACGGGCCTCTGTGTCCCCCGGGCTTCCCAGGATCTGCTTTTCCGGAGGGCGGGGCCGTGTGGCGCCGCCCCAGGGCAGTGGCTGGCTTGCTGCTTTTCTGCAGAGTTCACAGTCGTTTGTACCCTTTTCTGACCAGTCAGGGACCCAGGACCTCTGACTGCCCAGGCCTGAGGCAGTGGGCACGGGAAGCATGAGGAGCTGGCTAAAAACTGACTGTAGTTTGTTAAGTTACAGGAAAATCATCAGACAGGTCTGGGTGTTGGTGTTCCTCGGCGAGGGGTTACAGAGAAGCCGGGGGTGAGCAGACCCCGGGCGCGGTCCGAGGGGTCCAGGTGTGTCTCGGGCTGCGTGCGGGTCAGGGGGCGAGTTTTGCACAGTCAGCTGCTCTTGGGAGAACACGGCTGGGTGTGGCCCTTCCCAGAGAGACAGGAGCAGGGAGCTGGGAAACACAGCCAGGCGCAGGCACGGGGCCCGCTTGTCTCAGACAGACCTGCCGGCAACACAGACAGGGCCCGGGGCTGTTGGAGGGTGAGTGACGGAGGGCAGTTGGGGGATGTGAAGTGTCTGCGTGGCCAGCGTGTGCCCGCTCAGTGCGGGCAGAGCGGAGAGTGGCCTGCGCTGTGTTGAACAGGCACCTGGAGGCAGCTGAAGCGCCTTTTGCCGGTTTTCAGGGAAGGGTCTGGGGTTAGGTGTGAAAACGGTGATTTCCGTAGCCCAGGGGTCCCAGCCGCAGTGCTGCAAGCCACCAGGGCTGTGTGGATGCACACGCATGGTCAGGGTCTGTGTGCACCCCGCGAGGGAAGCAGCCGATGCCTTGTGGCCGGGAGGCCCCTCACAGAGCCTCCTCCTGTGGCGAGCGTCTCGGGGAGGCTCGGCGTGGGCCGCCCCGGAGAACTCACTGCAGCAGGGACAGCCCTCTGCGTCTCCAGGCTGACCCGCCAGGATGTTCTTCCTGGGGCCGGGCTCACCGCTTTCCCGTTCCTGGCCTCCAGGGCACATCCCCGCCGTTCACAGGAGGGAATGGAAGGCGAAAGAGAGGTGGCACTTTCCCAAGCCCGCCTATGGGCACGGCCGGCCCCCGAAGCCAGGCCCTCCTGTCTCAGGCATGAACTTCTGTCCCACCGGGCAGCCCTGAGTCCTTGCGAGGGTTCCGAAGGTTGGGGCCCAAGCTGTGCTGGGAGACTTGGAGACTTCTGCGCTGAGACATTGTCATGTCTGCCGCTGGCGCTTGCTCTGTGGCCAGGACGGAGAACCCTCGGGGTGTTGGGGTCCGAGGGCTGCGTGGGGTTGCCCGGTTGGCACATGCTTGCTACACCAATGCCCTAACCCTAACCCTAACCCTAACCCTAACCCTAACCCTAACCCTAACCCTAACCCTAAGTGCTATGCAGTCTAGGGGCAGGGGGCTGCTCCTGCCGCAAAGTGTCAGGGACTCCAGGCCATGACTGTTATCTGCCGGTATCCACCACTGTGTACAGGGAAGCAAACAAAGCAAACCCTGACCTTGGGGGCAGAGACAGCGGCCATGGGTGGTGAGGACAGGTTTCTAGGAGTGAGCGTGGGCACCAGGTGACCAGGGAGAGTAGCACAAAGGGGCGATGCTTCCCCTCTGCGGCCACAGAATGCCTGGCGTGTGGCAGAATCCCACCCTGTGACCTCCAGCAGAGCTCCGCAGCCCCCCCCCCCACAGCCACCTGCACACACGCTGCGGGTCCTGCACACACACTGCGGGTCCTGCACACACACTGTGGGTCCTGCACACACGCTATGGGCCCTGCACACATGCTGTGGGTCCTGCACACACACTGTGGGTCCTGCACACACGCTGCGGTTCCTGCACACACACTGCGGGTCCTGCACACACACTGCGGGTCCTGCACACACACTATGGGCCCTACACACATGCACACACACTGCGGGTCCTGCACACACTCTGCGGGTCCTGCACACATGCTGCGGGTCCTGCACACATGCACACACGCTGCGGGTCCTGCACACATGCTGCGGATCCTACACACACACTGCAGGTCCTGCACGCACGTTGCGGGTCCTACACACATGCACACACACTGCAGGTCCTGCACACACACTGTGGGTCCTGCACACACGCTGCGGGTCCTGCACACACACTGCAGGTCCTGCACGCACGTTGCGGGTCCTACACACATGCACACACACTGCAGGTCCTGCACACACACTGTGCGTCCTGCACACACGCTATGGGCCCTGCACACATGCTGTGGGTCCTGCACACACGCTGCAGGTCCTGCACACACACTATGGGCCCTACACACATGCACACACACTGCGGGTCCTGCACACACTCTGCGGGTCCTGCACACATGCTGCGGGTCCTGCACACATGCACACACGCTGGGGGTCCTGCACACATGCTGCGGATCCTACACACACACTGCAGGTCCTGCACGCATGTTGCGGGTCCTACACACATGCACACACACTGCAGGTCCTGCACACACACTGCGGGTCCTGCACACACACTGTGGGTCCTGCACACATGCTGCGGGTCCTGCACACACTCTACGGGTCCTGCACACACACTGCGGGTCCTGCACACACGCTGCGGGTCCTGCACACACACTATGGGCCCTACACACATGCACACACACTGCGGGTCCTGCACACACACTGCGGGTCCTGCACACACTCTGCGGGTCCTGCACACACGCTGCGGGTCCTGCACACATGCACACACGCTGGGGGTCCTGCACACATGCTGCGGATCCTACACACACACTGCAGGTCCTGCACGCACGTTGCGGGTCCTACACACATGCACACACACTGCAGGTCCTGCACACACACTGTGGGTCCTGCACACATGCTGCGGGTCCTGCACACACACTGTGGGTCCTGCACACATGCTGCGGGTCCTGCACACACTCTACGGGTCCTGCACACACACTGTGGGTCCTGCACACACGCTGTGGGTCCTGCACACACGCTGCGGGTCCTGCACACACACTGCGGGTCCTGCACACACACTGTGGGTCCTGCACACACGCTGCGGGTCCTGCACACACACTGCGGGTCCTGCACACACACTGTGGGTCCTGCACACACGCTGCGGGTCCTGCACACACGCTGTGGGCCCTGCACACACCCGCAGCGTGTGTGAAGGACACTGGCTCCACTTCCCTGGTGCAAGAGGTCCCAGTCCTCAAAAACACAGGCACTCTGGCCGCCACCTGGGGTGAGCAGGTAGCATTTGCCTTCCACCCGGGGACAGTCACGCGGAAGGGGCCAACGAGGAGAGGATGATGGGGATTTTTATCCCCCAACAGGCCAGGTCCTTCCCTGAAGGCTACGTCATCAGCTCAGCACTGCAGGTGAGTGAGAGGGTGTGGGTGGGAGGTGGGAGTGGCTGGCGCTCCTGAGGGCGGGCCCCAGAGCGGGGAAGAGGCTTCCTGCAGCTCGTTACATTGTCTGGTGCGTTGCACCTCGTAATCCGACTGCCTGGACCCCGTCCTTTACCTGGCCCTGAGCTTGGCTTCACTGGTGAGAGGGCTGTGACGGGAGACTGTGCCGAGTGGAAGTACCCAGCGAGGCTTCCGGGCTCCCTGCTGCACAAACCACTGCCTGCAGGATTCCACCGCCAGAGAAATGGCGGTCTGACAGGCTGAGCAAGCAGGCCTTGCTCCCCGCGGCAGAGGCGGAGGGTACAGGTGGGGCCCTGTGGCTCTATCACAAGGAGTGCCCTGATCTAAAGCAGTGGAAATGTGCTCACTGGAAGGTCCACAGAAGCCTTTCAGTTAGAAAACCGTGGCTGCGAATCCACTGGGCGCATCTCCATGGCCTCGTGCGGGACTCAACGTTGAGCCCCTTAGGGAAGGGTGAGGGGGTGTCTGCCACCCACCACCCACTCTCGCACATGAGCCACCGAGCTACCCATAAGCCCTATCTCAAGTCCAGGGAGAGTTTTTTTTAATCATTTAAATTTTTTTAGAGTTTTACATGTATTTGCATATTGACTTTTTTCATCTAGAATCACATACAAAAATATCTGTGATCTCCTCCCACTTCTCTGTATCCAAACGCAATTCAAGGAGCCGGCAGGTGTAAAGAATTCTACATTTACTAGATTCCAGGATATAGGAGGAAAAACGATCTACTGGGACGCAGAGGCTTAAAGGAAAAAGAGAAATCGTATTAAAACCTTCCTAAGTGGCACGGATGGAACTATTTTAAAAGAAATGTAAGCCGGCACCGTGGCTCACTAGGCTAATCCTCCGCCTTGTGGCGCCGGCACACCGGGTTCTAGTCCTGGTCGGGGCACCAAATTCTGTCCCGGTTGCCCCTCTTCCAGGCCAGCTCTCTGCTGTGGCCAGGGAGTGCAGTGGAGGATGGCCCAAGTACTTGGGCCCTGCACCCCATGGGAGACCAGGATAAGTACCTGGCTCCTGCCATCGGATCAGCGTGGTGCACCGGCCTCAGCGCGCTGTCCGCGGCGGCCATTGGAGGGTGAACCAACGGCAAAGGAAGACCTTTCTCTCTGTCTCTCTCACTGTCCACTCTGCCTGTCAAAAAGAAAAAAAAAAAATGTAAGCCATGAGCTAAGTCAGTCCACTGTCGGAACGTCCTCTGGTTCCATGGTGTCCACAATCCAGTGTTCAGTCCAACCTCCAGAAAGTACGCCCAGCCCTGCCCCTCACCCTGGGCGTCCCCAGGTCCCCAGGTCTCCCGTGCAGCTGCGGCCACACCGAGAGACCCCTGCAGAGCCAGCGCGAGGGCCCCTGTCCCACAGCTGCCGCGGTGGCGAGGTGGAAAGGGCGGTGACCACAAAGCAGCTGCCTTCGGGAAGCCGCCCGGCGGGGCCCCTGCCTCCTGCGCCGCTCGCTCGCGGCTTCCCCTGCAGGGCGAATCCTGGTTTTGGTCTCATGAAGGCCCTCGAGGGACCTCCCTCTGCAGAGTTCAAACACAACGGTCTGTATCGTCTTTCTCCCTCCCTTTTTCCAACCATAAAAGCCGAACGTAATGGAAAACCACGTACAGTGTTCAAAGAGGGGGACAGTGTCCCCCCACGGCCTGGCCCCGGCGTCCCCCGATCGTCCTGCCTCGTCTACACCGGCACTGAGCTGCTTTCCGATGTCAAATGCTGCGGACTGCAGGCAGCGCCGTTCCCACGCAGGTCCGCGCATCTTCCTCTTACTCCGAATGTCTGCCTAGCGCTCTGGTCGCTGCCTGCGCCCTGACGCAGTTAACTCGGACCGCACGGACGACTTCCAGCCCGCTTCCCGTCCCTCGCCGCGATTGCATGAATCTTGGAAATCACCCCAAAGCAGCGCGGGGTCGCCGGCAACACGTGTGCCCTCGTTCCCTGATTCCCGTTCATCCCCAAACCACTCATGCACTGCTGCGTGCGGGGCCTGAGCCAGACGGGGACAGCGCTGTGGCCGCACTGCGGGCTGCCAGCCGCGTCCGCCCTGGGGCCCACCTAGTGCGTGATCCGCACCTGCTCCTCTCCGCATCCTTTTCCCGTGCCTGCCTGTGTGCCAAGAATAAAAGGCAGGGGAGACCGGTGCACCCTCAGCACCCTCGCTGGGAGGGGACTCAGACAGGTGCCGGGCGGTCCCTGGCGCTCGAGGGCGGGGCCGTGAATACTGGAAACAGCAGACAGCGCCTGCTGGGGCGGTGGGCAGACCAACACTGCCCTCTGAGACGCTGGGGTGGGGGGGCTGCAGCAGCCAGGTCGTCTGCACCGCCCGCCCACCAGCCCCTCCCCCCAGACGGCAAGGTCCAAGGGTCGCCCTGAGGGTCTGCCTGTGTGTTGGACGGAGGGGTTCTCCGAGCTGAAGCACACACACCGTGGTGGTGTCTCCCCGTGGAGGCGTCGGAACCTTGGCTGGGCTTATGGAAGCAAAGGACAGGGGTTGGAAACAGGAGTGGTGCCAGAGAACCTGGCCGGTGAAGCACCGCCCTCAGGGCCCCGCGCGGGGTCCCCCGGGAGTCAGGCCCGCGGGAAACAGCGTCTGGACACCCACACGGCTGTGGGGACGCCTTCTGGTTCTGGGCCCACTCCCTGCCTTCGCCCAGCCTGTTCCCTCCTCAGACCAGAGAGCCTTGGTGACTGACAGTGACAGCGCAGGCCCTCGCTCCACACCCCCAGCCACCGTCAACCCTTCCCGGGAATTTGGGGAGCCTCTCCATGGATAAAAGCGAAACCTTGCCTGGTTATCAGAAGCGAGGCTTAGGATGCGGAGGAAACTCAGAGCTGGCGGAAAGCCAAGGGCACGGGAAGGGGGGCCGGGAGGAGAGGGGACCCTCTAGTTAGACACGCCTACGGTGCTCCCTGGGGGAGGGAGCACAACAGAGAGCGGTGACTACAGAAAAACCAGCGAACTTGTCACCAGCCTGAAATCAAGGGGAAAACTGCAAAACTGCATTTTGAACAAAACTTGGACCCACCATGTTGACTTCGAATACATCTCTGAAGTGTGAGATACGCCAGGCAAATCAGCGTCTACGTGACGTTCCCTGCCTATCATAGAGCCGTTATGTGAAGCAGAGCTTCTTCCCCCAAGAAACCCGTTGTTTAAGAAATGCAAACTTCATGCATTTCGCAAGTACAACTTTAGGAATATAGTGATTCTTCCCAACCACACTCCTACCCCACCTCCTCCCTCTCCCATTCCCAGTCCCATTCTCCACTAAGATCCACTTTCAATTAACTTTATCCACAGAAGACTAACTCTATACTAAGAGTTCAACAGTTCACACACACACACACACACACACACACACTGTTCCTCAATAGTCAGACAAGGGCTGTTAATTTCCCTTTTTTTAGAAACTTAATTACCTTTAAAGACACACCCAAGAATGATACATGTTTTGGGAGCACTTAGTCATAACTAACTTACCAGACATAAGAATATCCTCCACTTAATACATTAAAAGAAAGTCGTCCTTGAGAATGAGTTTTGTCATTAATTAGGGAAACACCTAAGAAAACAAGCAATGGGGGCAGGCACTGTGGCGGGTAAAGCTGCTGCCTGAAGCGCCAGCATCCCATATGGGCGCTGGTTCGAGTCCCAGCTGCTCCACTTCCAATCCAGCTCTCTGCTATGGCCTGGGAAAGCAATGGAAGTTGGCCCAGTTCCTTGGGCCCCAGCACCCATGTGGGAGACCCAGAGTAAGCTCCTGGCTCCTGGTTTAAAATCAGTATAGATCTGACCGTTGCAGCCATCTGAGGAGTGAACCAGTGGATGGAAGACCTCTCTCTCTGCCTCTCCTCTCTCTGTGTAACTCTGACTTTCAAGTAAATAAAAATTAATCTTTAAAAAAAGAAAACAAGCAATGGAATTGGACACTTAGGCATAACTAAGACTTTTGAGACAAGAATATTCTCCACTTAATACAATAAAACAAAATAAATCTTTGAGAACAAAGTATACTGTTAACTCTTATAACACAACTCTTTGAGGACAGAGGTCCTGCATGGGAATTAGTGCACAGTGACTCCTGTTGCTGATTTAACAACACTCTTATGTATGACGTCAGTGACCACCCGAGGCTCTTGACATGAGCTGCCTAGGCTGTGGAAGCCTTCTGAGTCCACAGTCTCTGTCAGCATTTAGACAAGGCCATTGCAAAGTGGAAGGTCTCTCCTCCCTTCAGAGAAAAGCAGCTCCTTCTCTGATGGCCCCTTCTTTCCACTGGGGTCTCAGCCACCGAGGTCCTTCATGTAGGGAAGCTTTTGGCACAGGGTCCTGGCTTTCCATGCCTGAAATGCTCTCGTGGGCTTTTCAGTCAGACCAGAATTTCTTAAGGGCTATTGAATCAGAATTTTATAAACACATAACTATGCCATTTATTTTACATCAAAAGTCAACTTTTTTCTCTCCACATTAAATAAATATGAGCCAAATAGTTAAAGAATAGTACCTTTTGGGAAATTCAGATATTGGCTTGTAGATTGGGGTCTGTTTTGTCTTTCTTGTATCTTCAGGCATTTGTTGTGAGTTAGCCGTTTCCATCATAGTCAAAGTTTCCTCTGTTAAAGCCAGCAGTGAAACACAAACTTCCCTCAACACCATGGCCTCTCCAGCGAGGGTCACTGTCACCTCATTCTCCAAGACATGGATTGATTTGCGAAGGTTGAACCATCCCCACATACTAGGGATATGTGGGGATACCCAGTTGTTCCGAATGAATGATCTTTCCTATGTGTTGTTGGATTTGATTGGCTAGTATTTTGTTGAGGATTTTTGCATCTGTGTTCATCAGGGATATTGGCCTATAGTTCTCTTTGTTGCATCTTTTTCTGGTTCTGGAATTAGGGTGATGCTGGCCTCATAAAAGGAGTATGGGAGGCTTCCCTCTCTTTCAATCGTTTCAAATGGTTTGAGAAGAAGCGGAATTAGTTCTTCTTTAAAAGCCTGCTAGACTTCAGCAGTGAAGCCATTCAGGACAAACTTTTCAATCAGCCGAAGCCCTCTGCAACCGGGAATGCCAGCGGGAGCTCTGCTGCTCACGTGGTAGCTGGGGCCAGGGCCCACCCCTGCCCCTCCTCCCGCCCGCAGTTGGGTCCTAGTGCTCCCACCTGGAAAGTCCCCAGACCGTTCCTTCTCTCCTGATTTCTCAGCGGAAGCTCTTGCTTTGCCTTCGCCTCTCGGAGAAGTTCCTGGTCCTTGTCTAACTTCTCTTCACAACAGCCTAGCAAGACATGGCAGGCGAGGTGGACGCCTTCCAGTTGCCCGCCTTTGTTCAGTTCAGTGTCAGCCTGAAGATGTGGCTGAAATCCTCTCTCCAGAGGGGCTTCCGCCTTAGCCTTGGAAGGCTGACCAGGCCTCAGCGCTGCGTGGTCTGTGGTCAGTGACACACGAAACACTCCAGTCTGAGCGGTGTGGCAAGGGTGAAAGAAATGGGGCTCGCCTCTGAAATCTAACCAATGACCACTAATCACTTTCAAATATGGGGAAAGCCTCCTAGACATAACGTAACAATCCACCCACGAGCTTTGCATGTTGAGATGCTAGCCGTCGGTAAGCTCCTGTGATAACTCACGGCACCTGTGGAAATTTGACTTGACATAAACAGAATTTTCAGTGGTCTTCTGAAGATATTCAGAAAGCATCTCAGGGGTGTGAGGTTGCAGCGGACGGCACTGCTTCAGTGAGACGCGCCTTGCAGGTAGAGGCGGCGCGTCCCGCTCCAGTGCACGGCTGCTGGAAGGAAAAGAGCGCAGACTATCCGGGTGGCAGTGTCGCTGGCCGAGACCGCACGGCCCCCCAGCTGGCTGAGTGGGAAGTGAGGGCCTACTTGGTATTGCAGATTTACGGTGTCGTTACCATGGCAGCCATCTGGCTGCTGGCAGTGCCCAGAAAGTATTGTTCCTGCAACATAAAGTCCATTGTCAAAACTTGTTGACTCTATAAAATTCAGTAACAAAGACGGTCATGATGATGGGCTTGTTGTTGGACTAGAAGTTTCTTCTGTGATGGGCTGGCATTTACATGGGCCCTGTCTTTGTTGAAGTGGACGTGTGCCCTTGACCAGTAAACTGTCTAACGTAGCCGGCTGGTACAGGTGAGCACCAGGTCCCCCGCCCTTCCCTCCTGGCGTGCTCTCTCCCGCCAGCCGGGAAAGAGACAGACACAGGAAACCCTTAGCTTTCCAGCTAGCTGGGCCATGTGGTTCATCTTACTGTCAGCCGGAGTCTCCACAAAGCCTGAGAATTAGCAGTGAGATCACGGCCAACTCGCGTCACCTAGAAGTGCGGTTCTGACTCCTCCTAGAGCCCCCAGCAGCTCCATCCCCAGAGCACGGAGCCCGCGTGACGTCAGCGTGAGCTGGCTGGTCCGCAGGGGAAGTCGGTCCTGACTCAGATGCTTACGCAATATCAAACACAATACGATCCAGAATAAACTCTGACCCAAGCTAATTTCTTGGAAAGTGTTCTAGGTATTTTCCAAAAAAGACTAGAGAACTATAGGAAGCTAGCCAGCTTGGCATTGCTTATCCAAAACTTCCTGCCAAAAGTCTGGCCCCATTTTCCAGGGATGGTGCTCCGGCGGGCAGACAGTCTTGCACCAGGGACGCTGGTCCCTTTGTCCATGGGAGCCCGAGGCCTGGCCAGCCTGAAGCACTGCACGGTCCCCGGCAGAAGCAAGTTTAATTGCCCCTTCGTGCGACAAGGGAGGAGAGAGTGTGGAGACCTCGCTGGAGCCAGTGCTCAGGCCCCTGGGAGGGGCAGGGCTGGCAGACCCAAGCAGGGTGCCCTTGTCTCCTGCCCCTCGTCCAAAGCGCTAGAGCCACAGCCGTGATCGGAGGTCCGCAGCCTCAGCCCCGGGGAGTCTGCTTCGCTTGTCCTCTGTGATTCAGCAGCAGTGGCCACAAGTGTGGCCGCAAGTCCGCCCTCAAGCAGCAGTCCAAGCAGAGCCAGATGACCGGAAGAACTTCCTCATCGCCAGGACATCAGAGCGGGGCATCTGTGGCTCGCCGTAGCAGTGTGGGCAGGAGGAAGGCTCTGTGCCCTCAGTCACACTGAGACAGAGCCTACTGTCAGTCACCACGCAGCAGGACACGGTGACATGTTCTGGGGACAACCGCTTCTCAGTACCGTGAGTTACAGAAGAGAACCGAGTTTTCCACTTTTGGTCAAACTTTGGGCAAGTCCCCTTGACCGTGCTGGGCCGGCTTCCCATGGAGTCCAGGGGCTGGGTGTGCTGTGGACCAGTGCACAATGCTTGTCAGGTGTGGGGAGCAGCCCGGACTAGACTGAGTTACTGGAATTAAGACTTATTCTATGCATCTGCTCTCCCACAATATGGCGCTGGGAGAGAAGTAAACAGCTTCTGCACAGCTGCCTCCAGTTCAGCTAATAAACTGTAGGACTTGCTCCTGATTGGAGGAGAGCAGCGTACTCGGCGTGTGGGCAGCCGAGTTAGGATTGGCGGAGGAGGACTATAAAGGAGGAGAGAGACGGCATGCACCAGGAACATCTATGGGGAACATCTAAGGGGAACACCTGTGCAGCCCCCAAGAGAGCCGGCCGGCGGTGTGCCGCTCCCCTGCGGAAGTGGGGAATGTGGCCAGGGGGAACTGCCCTTCCACGGAGGTGGAAGGGATAGTAGCCAACCCGGGAAGAACCAGCAGCAAACCCGGGGAGGGCCGAGCAGACAGAAAGAACAGCGCAGGGTCCTGTGTCGTTCCACCACGAAGAGGGGGAGCGACAGTCAGGCAGCCACGGTTGGAAAAGACCCTCTGGTACCCACCAGAGCTGCATCGGCCCCTCCAATCCATTGCCCCTGCTTCAGGAATTGGAGTAGAAATAATCCGTATCTCTACAGCTCTCACTCACCCCCAGGGACCAGAGGAGACAAAAGAAAAACATGGGAGAACTCTCCCACGGCCGACGCCCTGTTTCTCTGGCCTGGCCCCTTGTCTTCAAGCTCCAAAGGATGCGGGAAAATGTCTGATTTGTGACCGACTTACCACGAATCTGAAGAGGGTGGGAAGCCCAGAGATGGCCTTGCACACCTGCTTCCCCTCACTCAGGTGCCACGGACCGGCCAAAGAGCCACGGACCGGCCATGGGAGGAGCACTGTCAAGCCAAGCCCGCCCAGCGCACTCAGGGGCAGACAGAGGCCAGCAGAGCCGGGGAAACAGACTGCAAGGGCACTTGCTCAGACAGACGCGGTTCCTGGCACCGCAGATCCGCAGGCCCTCCTCCGTCTCACGCCCGTTCTTCACTCCGCTTCTGAAATCGATCCCTTTTTGTCTTTTCAATTCTGTATCTAATTACAGGTCATTGTTCCAACACCAGAAATGCTAAGAGCTGAAGATTCTGCCAGAAAGTGACTCATAAATCTCATTAGTATTAAAAATTTAAAGTCTCGTGGAGTTTGAGCCAAACACAAAACTATCATCGTTTAACATCCTATGACAAAAGAAGACAGGGATTTTGCCTGAGCATCGCGGAGACTAAGGAATGAGAGTAGCACCTGTCGTCATTGAGTGCCTGCTGCTCGACGCATGGCACCGGCTCCCAAGGCCACTGAGCAGCGTCTGTTGAGAACATTGCTGAGAGCAGACGCGTGAGTCTTTTCAAGGGCTGGAGGCTCGGGAGCTTTGTGAGTTCTGCTCCTGAGGGCTGACGCTGTCCCAGAGGCGGAATCAGGGCTCTGAGTCTGCCAGCAGGCTGTGTTGGCGCAGGGTTGACAGCCACGGTGAGCATTGGCACATGCAAGGTGGAGAGACTGGGAGACAGGGGAAAACTGACCCAGTGCTGTCATGCATCCCTGTGGGCTTTTGTGGCCCTTATTCCAAAGTGGGAGCCAAATTTGAGGGTCCTTGCCACTGGGACGATGGCTGTGCTCCGAGGGAGGCCGGCGGGGAGCTGCAGCCAGCCGCTTCTTCATGCAGCCAAGCCACGCAAGCCATCCCAGCCCTACGGTGGTGGCGCGCCCGCCCCTAGGGCAACTCCTCCTTCCCTCCTGCTGCGCATCCCTGCTACTTCCCACTCACTTTCCCGCTCTCGAACGTGACCAAGTGATGACACAGATTTGGAGGCTGCACTCTGCCCTGAGAGGATCCAACAGCTCACTCGGCTGCGCTATTCTCTCTGTGGGGCCGCAGAAGTGTGGATCTTGCCCACAGTCAGGCCATCTGCAGCGTCTGGGAGTAAGACCCACGTTATGCGGTCACCACCCAGGGTTCCAGGGGAATAAACAGGCCACAGTGAGAGGCACTGCGAGACCCGACCCCCCCACGTGACGGCCTTGCTGCTCCTGGGGCACTCACAGTATGCGTGCTGTTAATGTAGGTCTGCTTTGAGCAGCGCGCTGCCCCCGAATGGAACCCTACAGAGATGCTGCACAAAGTATAGCACTGGGAAAACAAAAGAGGCCACAGGTGTGCCATAAACCAGGGCGGCTGGCGGGCGGCTGAAGTCACAGGTGCACCGTGTGTTGTGGCCACACCGCGTCCGTTGTGTCATTTCAGAGTCACTGCGCTTACTTCTATCAAGAGGAGAAGGCTGGAGGCCAGGCCCAGAAAAGGCCGCCATCACTCCTACTCCTGTTTAGACACTAGGAGGGCAGCTGTGTTCCCTAGAAGGGAGGGCAGCTGTGTTCCCTAGAAGAGGAGGCGCCGGATCCGGGGACCAGCTAGAGTCTGCGACAGGAGGCCAAGGGCCCTGTGCGCTCGCGATCCAGACAGATGGGCGGCGGAGAGAGCAGAACAAGCTCCTGAGGATCCAGAAGCGAGGTTTTCAGGAGCAGGAGATTCGGGGACTTCTAAGACCCCGCGGGTGGGGTCTCTCGTTCCTCTCACTCACGCACGTGGCTCTGCGTCCCCACATTTTCTCTTACCACAGTAAAGGCATCAAGTCCAACTTCGCAGCAAAAGCGGCCACTTCACGTTGCCATCACAGGGCTCCTGTTTGATCAATCGGCTTCCCCAGTCCAGAGGAACCTGTTTCGGTTTCCGGCTGAGAGTGGCAGGTGTGTTCTGCGGAGGACGCCGTGCACGGGTGTGCATCGGGAGGCTCAAGTGTTTACACACATGCACGGGGGTTTGGGAGTCAACGCGCCCAAGTGCCAGGGCCAGGCCTGCTGAATCTCCCACGAGCTCCATCAGATGAAGCATCAATGCGGTTTTATGTTTCTGAGAATTTTCTTCATGTTCGTCTCACATAAGAATTTAGTTTCCCACAAAGCTTAAAGGTTTGTTTGATTTTTCTTAATTTGCCCTAAACCTTAAAGTCCATTGGAGCTAGCCACGTCAAAGAAGCTGGGGGAAATGGAGAGGACTTTTGGTGACCTGCTTTTCCATCTAGAAGCTTCGCCTGGTGTGTGGGAACCTCACGCGGGCCTGCTGGCCTCCCCTCCGGTGGGGCTGTGCTCACGTGTGACACGGGCATGGCTCTCCTCCTCATCCTCCTCCCTGGGCCTCACCACTGCTGTTCCCTCTGCTAGGCAGCACCGTCGCTCGTCAGCTCCTGCTCACCCTTCAGATGCCAATCGAAGCCTCATTCCACAGCCTTAGGGAAGCAACCGGAACCACATGCCGAGCGGGTGCTGGGACATCCTGGGGGAGCCCAAGACTCCCTGTACCTTGGGACACCCTGGGGGAGCCCAGGACTCCCTGTACCTTGGGACACCCTGGGGGAGCCCAGGACTCCCTGTACCTTGGGACATCCTGGGGGAGTCCAGGGACTTCCTGTGGAGTTCAGCATCCCTGCGCCACCTACAGATGTCTCTCGACTTACAATGGCGTTACAGCCCATGAACTCATTTTAACTTGAGTCAGAATGCATTTCCTACAGCTGCTGCGGTGTCAGGGCCTCCTCACCAGCCGTGGCTCGCTGCCCCTGCCGGCATCGCTAGGCCAGGAAGAGCTCAAAACCCCACCCTTGGAGAGCTGAAAACTTGCCTGGAAGTTGAGGGTCCTCTGTAATTACAAACGTGGCCGCTCAGCTGGGAACATGAGCGCCGTGCGTGCCACGTTCCCCAGGGTGTCCCCAGTTCCCATGTCGCGCCGGATTCAGATGGGCGTCCATGGTTGCTGCCTTGGGTGTGAACACGGAGCTTCTCCGTGGACAGTGGGCAGGGCCTTGCCGGGCCCCTCCGTGGACTTTGGAGGCTTCTTCCTGAACGGAAGCTGGAAGGGTGCTCCTTCGCAGACCACCACAGCTCAGACGCCGGTTCCCTCCCCTCTCTCTGCTGGGGCTCGCCGGCGGGCCACCTGCCTGTCCACGGTGCTGCGGGATCTTTCCAGGGATGCGAGGCGGTGTGGAGTGGCTATCGCTGGCCAGTCCCAGGAAGAGGCTGGCAAGTGGGGTTCATGGAGCCTCTTCGCCTTGCCCAGACTTGGCACTGAGCAGCACCAAGCGCAGCACGTCGGAAGTGTGTGGAAGAGGGCCTTTTCCGTGTCTGTCCTCGCCAGAGGGCGGGTGTGCTGAAGTCGTCTCGAGGCCACAGCTGCAAGGAGCTGTCTTGGGTCAGTCAGCAAGACAGCCCCATCCCTCGGAGTCAGACTAAATAAAACCGTAAAGTCAACAGGGTTGCATTTCTCTCAAGGGTCCCTGGGCAGACGCGGGTCACCCCAGGCCGCCGGAGCCCAGTCAGCTGCACGTGGTGTGGACTGGGCCCAGGATTCTCCGACAGCTGGAGCAGAGAACGAGAGACCCCGAGAGAGCTGTCCTCGCTGCTGTCTGCAAGTGAGCAAGCCTTTGGATTCCACCTAAAACCACGTGCACTGGCTCCTAGGGAAAGGCAGATGCACCCGGTCCTGGGCCTAGTGGTTCCCGGAGCAACAGTGCAGAAGTCACACCGCTGCCTGCGGCGCCCTCAGTGGGGCCAGTGTGGACGGAGTGAGGAGCCGGAACAGCCGCCCCAGCCCCGGGCGTGCTCCTGACACTCCGTTCTGGGTCTGCACTCGCTCTCCCGCTGCACGGGCCCGCCTCCTGGGCCCTGCCTCGGCCACGCTCGCCCCGGGCCTGGGAAGCCCTCACCCGCTCTCTTTCTCCTGGGAGCCTGCTACAGACGGCTCCGTCTAAGCAGGGTGTACGTGTCGGAAACCTGAAATGCTCTAAAAACTGCCCTGGGCTCCAGTGTCGTAAGTGTGTCATCCACAACATTGCTCACAATATTGTGTATTCTGGCCAGATCCAGCAAATCCATGGAGAAGGCAGCGGCGGCTGCGTGGTGAGAGTGGGCTCTCCTGCTGGGACGACGTGTTTGGAAGTGGACAGTGGTGGTGGGCGTGGCCTTGTGAACCTGCTCACCACGTGGATGGGATGTTTTAAAGCAGCTGATTTTATCATACAATTTTCACCTCGATTTTAAAAAAAAGTACATCCTAGCAACCTAATAGCTTTTTAAAATAACGATGATACACGTAAGTTAAAACATATGGAAATAGTGTGTGTTACCTTCAGGGGCCAGCGCTGGGGCTCAGTGAGTCAGGCTGCTGCCTGTGACACCAGCTTCCCACATGAGCACAGGCTGGAGTCCCGGCTGCTCCGCTTCTGAGCCAGCTCCCTGCTAATGAGCCTGGGAAAGCAGAGGAAGATGGGTGACTGAAGTGGAGTTCCTGGCTCCTGGCTTTGGCCTGGCCCAGCTCTAGTATTGAGGCCATTTGGAGAGTGACCCAGTGGATGGGGAACCTCTGACCACCCTCTTACTCACATTCTGTGTCTGTAACTCTGCCTTGTAAATAAATAAATAAATATTTTTTAAAAAAGCTAAAAAGAAAATTACCTTCGGGCTGTGTGTTTAAGGTGTATATGAAACATAAGTGAATTTTATATGTAGACTCAGGTCCCATTCCCAAGGCATCTCATTGTGTGTGTGTGTGTGTGTGTGTGTAAATATTCCCAAATTAAAAAAAAAATCTGAAGTCAGAGCTCTCCGGCAGCAGGCATTTCAGACAAGGCTCACCCAGCCCACTCAGCGCTCTCTTCAGTGACCTGGGCCTGAGCAGCAGTTTTAGAGTTGTCAGTTTGGTTGTGGTGGGGGCCGGGCCTCCCCAGCGCTAGAGCTGCCTTCTCCCTGCCCGTGTGTCGTCTGCAGGTGACACCGTGACACCGTGGCGTGCACTTCCGAGTGCCCGAGGATACCAGGTCTGCGAGCGCAGGATGGTCAGCCCCCAGCTTGGTGCTCTCACGTCTGGCCGTGGCAGTGATCAGTTTTCACGAGTCCTGCACCACTGATGTGTGAATTTGTTACCATAACCTGCTAACCCACGTATGCAGACACAGGCTGCATGCATCACTCGCAGGAATGATAAACCTGGAGAACTCAAATGCAGGTTCCACGTCACAGAGGCCTGTGGCCCCCGGAATCCACAGCACCATGCTGCACAGGGCCCGCTGGCTGACGTCCATCAGCTGTGCTTTGCTTCCTGGCCACAAGGCACCAAACCTCTAGCTGGGTGCGTCACTACCCAGCCAAGGGCACCTTTCTCCCCTGTCCCTGTAGCCGGCATCGGCTACATGGCTGACTGGCGTCCCATGAGACGTAAGTCACAGCTGAGTGGGGTTCTGAGGGAGAAGCCCTTACAGGAGAGACTCCTGCACCTGCTGCCTGCACGTCAAATGCAACTAGGAGGCTTCTCGGGGCTTTTCAGGCCGAGCGCCACAGCCAGTGACGATGACACACAGGCGGGGAGGGATCCTGGCCTCCTTACAACTCTGCGGAACCACCTTATCAGCTCTGGACAGCCTACCTGTCTACACCTTTTGTGGGAGAAAGAAACAGGAGACTACCTTGTGTAAGCTGCAGTCATTTGAGGCTTTCTGTTATATTCTGCTGATCCGAATCCTAATTTATGCAACCATCTGTCACCCAGAGAATACCACTGGTCTGGAGTCCATGGTGGGGGTGAATACTTCCAACCGTTGCTTTAAGGGTAAAGTGAGAACGTGACTGAGAGCGGAAGTGGTGGTCACAGCCATGACAGCAGAGCGCGGAGCCACCAGCCTTGCTGTCCTCCTCGCCCGTGCTGTCAGCAGGAGGCAGTGCCCTGGAGAGACCTGCCCTGGTGCTGGGGCTGGGACTCTGTCCCCTCCTTCCCAAGTCTGCTTCCTCCTGCTCTCCTCTGAGGCCCCCAAGTGCAACTCCTCGCAAGCTGTGTTCGGTCGAGAGTAGAATACTTCTGCCAACGACGAAGTTTGCTTCCCGGGCTTGAAACACAGGGGTAAATCACGGGCTGTGCGCACAATCACCGGGGTCCAGACAGGATGTTAGTTCAAATAAGGAATTAGTTCTGGAAGCAAAGTGCCCAAAGTGGTGTTTATTATAATCATGTCGTCAGATCGCTTCATTGTTTTCCCAGTTGGACACAAAGAGTCTTAAACTTGGTTCCCAGCCATGGCTGCTGAGCCACCAGAGGTGAGGGAGGAAGAGGCAGAGCAGACAGGATGACTCGCCTCTCCAGAAAGCAACAGGTAAAGAAACACCTTGCTCTGCAACTATGTCCTGCCCTGGAACACGCCAAACCCACTCCTCCTCCTCTGTTTCCATGGAGTGGACTTAGAAACGTTCCACAGATCCACAGATCCACTTAGCTAAAAAGTACAGAGAGGAGACACTGCGTAGGGAACGTTTGACTCCCTTTAGGTAACAGCGACCGGCGTAGAAACAGGTTCATCCTCTTGAGTTCAGGTGTCCCAGCGATGTTTCTCTCTCTTCAAAGCGTGTGGTTGGCAAGAACCAGGCAAGCAAGGGAGGAGCTTGGAATCGCGGGTAGCGCAGGGGAGCGGCAGCTGTGCCCACGGCACCGCTGCTCTTAGCTCATCTGTGCCTGACCCTGTCCCCAGCACCCCGGGGAGAACCCTCAGATCCACTCACCCCTGCGCCCTCGGCTGCGCCTTGCTCCGGTCGTTTTCCAGTTGCACTCATTCACCGCTTCTGTCGCACTGAAGAGAAAAAGAGGACGAAGATACTGCCCGATTCGACGGAAAGCCGAGGTCCAGCCGACTCCACTCTGACAGAGGACTCGGCCGAGCTTCAGGAGTGCCGGACCTGGCTGCCCAAGTTCTGCTCTTCTCAGCGCAGCCAAAATCAGGGGTTGTCAGTGCCTGGCCAGTGCCCAGTCACGCTGCTGGCCCGACACCTGCTCGGCATCTCAGCCTGTGCACGGGCTCACTCCACACCCACATGAAGCACTGGGCCTGTGGCACGCGTGCCCTTCCTGGATCTCAGTGGGCAACAACCCCCTGGGCTCAACTATAATCCTTCCATAGAGAGGCAAAGTGAGGCTGGTCACCCAGCTCCTACCCAGCGCTGCATGGATGGTCTGTCCTCGGCCCAGGGTCCTCAGCCTATCGGATAAGGTAAATACAAAGGGGAACATTCAACTGAAACCCAGCCCCACTTACCCCTTCAGCCCGCAGAGGTGTTCGAATCTGATGGCCAGCTGCTCCCAGGCGATGGCCCCAGAGGAATGTTAACAACGTCCGCGGCTACACATTACGCTCAGAAACGGTGCTAGTGACACACGTGCAAGTCGCCTTGGTGTAGCATCTCCCGCCCCCGCCCTCCACGGTCAGACGTGGAAGGACCACTGTGCTGGTCTCTGGCAGCCCTCTCTGCAGGCACCACTGTGCACAGCTACGGGACCCGTCTGCTCCTTACCCGCTGCTCCCCACGCCGCGTGCTCATCACTCACAGCACAGCCTGCTCTCCTTCTCAAGCAAAAGCAAAACCGAAAATGTTGCCTCTGGTGTTTTCAATTCCCTGCTTTTTCTTATTTTTATAAATTACTAAAATTTGACTTCTTTCCTAGGTAGCAGACATAAAGTTGATTTGTTTCCATGTGGGCCTAGTAAGCAGGTAAGCCTCACAACCCAGGGTTTAGGTGAAGCAGCTGGACTCGGGGTCAGGCATTCAGGGTGGTGTCGGAGGAGGTCCTGTCCTCCAGATGCATTGGCTCCTCTTGGATCCCTCAGAGCCTCCTTCCGACTTCAGGCAAGGCTGTCACTGGGAAGTATGGCTGTGGGCTTGGCACCTTGACCCCCACCCCAAATCAGCCAATGGGGGAGGAAGGCATTCCAGCCCCTCACTGTCCAGCGCCTGTCCAGCACCACTTGCCATGCACCGGTCTAGCACCTGGCCTCTCCAGACATCTCATCTGTGTTTCCTCACTGCCTGCAAATTCACCATCCAGCACACACTGTCTCTCAAAGAGCGTTTCCAAAACGTAGCACAATAGGTGGCTACTGACTTTCCTGAGCCTGCATACAGTGGTCTGCCCCGTGCCAACCTTGACGACTTTGAGAACCGTCCTTCGTGGAACTGGCTCTGTGTGAGGGCAGAAAAGTTTGATTGGCTGCCGAACCCCCCACTCACTCTCCCAGCTTCTTCTGGTGCTGGGATGACCCAAGATAACTTCTTTGAGTCTAGCTGATTTTGAAGAGGAGGTATCAATGCATTTCAGGCTTTACCGCGAGAGAATCCATTTCGTCACTTTTCATAAATGGACAAAATACCTAATCATCTGAGGTCATTCTTGGAACCTGTGCTGGGAGTGTTGACAACCGCAGATGAAAGGAAGTTTTAAGACACATGTGGGCCGGTGCCGCGGCTCACTAGGCTAATTCTCCGCCTTGCGGCGCCAGCACACCGGGTTCTAGTCCCGGTCGGGGCGCTGGATTCTGTCCCGGTTGCCCCTCTTCCAGGCCAGCTCTCTGCTGTGGCCCGGGAGTGCAGTGGAGGATGGCCCAAGTGCTTGGGCCCTGCACCCCATGGGAGACCAGGAGAAGCACCTGGCTCCTGCCATCGGATCAGCGCGGTGCGCTGGCCGCAGCGCGCCGACCGCAGTGGCCACTGGAGGGTGAACCAACGGCAAAGGAAGACCTTTCTCTCTGTCTCTCTCTCTCACTGTCCACTCTGCCTGTCAAAAATAAATAAATAAAATTAAAAAAAGACACATGTGGAAAGGAGACAGCTGTCAAAATCATCTTCATGTCACAGATGGGTGGTGAGGAATCTGGGGCCACAAAAGCTCCACACACAGAGGTACATCCTGCCTCTCTCCCCCAAAAGCCAGGGCCTCTGTGAATCTTAAAGAAGCCAGGCCTGTCGTTGCTGTCCCAGGCAATGGCCTCCCTTTGCACGCTGCGCTGAGCACCTGAGCCGTAGGCTACTGACAAGTTGTCAGGAAAGCTGAGGACGCGTGTTTGGGGACCACCGGGCATGGCAGAGACCCAGAGATGAAATCTGCAGTACTCTTTCCAAAATGCACTGGCCTTTAGCCACCATATCTCAAGTTCTAAGCCTTGGAACAAATAAGCATAACACATTCAAACAACAGAGCCATGCGAGGTGTCCTTCCCTCTTGGGACCCCTCAGGGGCCTTGTCACTCAGTGGCAATGTCACACGGATGGGCCACAGTGGCTCCGTCCATGCTGCCATGTGTGTTTTTGCAGCAAGAAAGTTTATCCAAATTCCTCCTATTCAGAGTTAGATACTTTGCAGAGCAGCAATGAACTTGTGCATTGTTTGTTGACCTTACTTAGCATTTCGTACCCGCGCCGCTGGCAGCTTTGCGAGCTGTTGTGTAAGGAGAGGACCTAGAAGTGACTGCCAACATTCTGAGAATATTTCGTGATCAGGGATTTGGCAAATTCACTGTGAATGCACTGTGCCCAATCCATTCTTTTTTATAAGCCAGATCTCAGGTCTGAAACAGACCTTGCATAATTATTTCTTCTGAAAACGTATCCCCACGTGGCAACTCGGCAGTGCACATCCATCTGAGGACCCATTTCCAGCCCTCCAAGTGGCTCCCCCATCCCCACAAAGGCTGTCTCTTGCTGGCACCCCGAGAAGGGCAGATCTGAGCTGTGCAGGAAAAACCTTGCACACAAAGGGAAAAACTGTACCGTCACCTGACGGTGTGGGCTCAGGAAGGCAACACAGGTTGAACACTAGGCTGAAGAAAGTGTCAAGTATCAACCCCTTTGGGAGGATCCCAGACCTGGCCAACAGCCCTTGGCCAGAGAACACAGCCGGGAACCTAGGACTTGGCTGCCTGGGCGTCTGACTGATACTTGATTCTTTAAAGAGACAAAGAATTAGAATTCAGTCGGCAGAGCTGTCTCCAAGCAGACACAGAAGGGTGGGATGGTCCAGGACGTTTTGTTTATCCAAACAGCCAGGCCAAGGTCTGGCCTCACAATGGGAGACGAGGTTTCAGAGCAGGCACGGGAGGACAGCAATGGACTATCTTTTCTCTACAGAGCCGGGTGACCTGTCAGCTTGGTCAGGTTGCTTAACCTCTGAGCCACCTGTGACATGGGACCGGCAATGGGGACATACACGTGGGGTATTGTGAGGACGCAATGAAGAGTGTCGGTCAACACAGGGTGACCTGACAGAACACAGCTCAGGAGAAAGGGGCTAAAGCAGTCGGAGGCTTAAATGAGTCCTCACAGTGACCCTCTGATTCAGGATAACAAACTCCAGGCCTAGATATAGATCTGTAGCCAAGTGAAGGCCTGATTTAGCAGGCAGTGGGATGAACCTCAGAAGGAGTTCTCGGCCGGCGCCGCGGCTCACTAGGCTAATTCTCCGCCTAGCGGCACCGGCACACCGGGTTCTAGTCCCGGTCGGGGCGCCGGATTCTGTCCCGGTTGCCCCTCTTCCAGGCCAGCTCTCTGCTGTGGCCCGGGAGTGCAGTGGAGGATGGCCCAAGTGCTTGGGCCCTGCACCCCATGGGAGACCAGGAGAAGCACCTGGCTCCTGCCATCGGATCAGCGCGGTGCGCCAGCCGCATCGCGCCAGCCATGGCTGCCATTGGAGGGTGAACCAACAGCAAAGGAAGACCTTTCTCTCTGACTCTCTCTCTCACTGTCCACTCTGCCTGTCAAAAAATTAAAAAAAAAAAAAAAGAAGGAGTTCTCAGACTTCTTCACCCAACGTAGTCACAGTGGTATTTCCCTGGAGCGTCTATACATCCTTCCAAGATTTTTACCAGGTGTGTAGTATTCCACAGTTCAGGAAACACTGACATTTATTGAGAGACATTGGCTGCTTGTGTGACTTTGAGGGTAGAAAACAAGAGGTAGAATGCTGGATGACCAGCTCGTTGCCAGTGAAGTTGGTCATCTTTCAAACTTTATTCGTCACTTCTGTGTTTTTTTGTTCTGTGAATTGCTTGCTGGTAAGTGTGGCTCACTTGGGAGGGGGCCAAGTCCTTGCCATTTTCTTCTCAGTTTGTAAATACTTTCTTTGTGTCACAGATGTTATTCCCTACTATATAGGCTCCAAAATATATTCTCTCATGCTGTCTCCCATTAACATTACTTACGATATCCTTGTTGACATGAATTTAATTTGTATTCATAAGTTTGTAATGAGTTAAATTTGAATGAGTTTAGATTTGTACATGTTTAAGTTTTTCAATTTTTTTTTCATATAGCATCTGGGTTTTGTGTCTTGCTTAGAAAAGAAATTTCCTCCTTTCATTAAAAATGTTTAGAAATTATATATTTAGCTGAGAGAGAGAGAGAGAGAGAGAGAGAGAGAGAGACCCAGCTCCCGTCTACTGGTTCACTCTCCAAATCCCTGCAACAGCCAGGGCTGAGCCAGCCCAGGGCAAGAGCAGGAGCCAGCAACTTAGTCCAGGTCTCCACATCAGTAGCAGTGACCTAACTACTGGAGCCATCACAGCTTCCTCCCATGGTCTGTGTGGACAGGAAACGAGTCAGGTTTCAGGTTTCAGAGTCAGAGCCAGGACTCAGATCCAGACACTGCCACGTGGGGTGGGCACCTGAACCGGTGTCTTAACCTTAGGCCAAATGCTGGCCCCTCTCTGGTGATTTGAAGTTCAATCTATAACGGTAGTTACGTCTTGTGAAGTCATCTCCGCTTTATTATTCCCTGGGACACAGCCAGCCAGCACAGCCTCGGTGCCAGGTAACTCCGGCTCCACCCTTGAGTGATGTCACCATTCTTCCTGTGAGCGTCGGGATTTTCTTGTTGCTGTGTTAGGTTCTGCCGAAGGATGCCTGCCCCAGGCCATCTAACCAGAAGGTTCCACTGCCTTCGGCGGCCCCTGGCGCCTACCGGCTCCATCCTTCACGTTCTCTTTCAGGACAGCTGCGGGAACAAATAATCCGCACCTCACACCATGGAGCTTTTCCCTCGCGGGTTTCAGATCGTCACCTTTGAAGGCGTCTCCTGGGAGAATTCCTTTCCTGCCTAAAATTCTCTACGGTCGAGATAAACACATCCGGGGCTGTTCCTTAGGATCCCACTTCTCCAGCCTGGCAAATGCTTCGTTAGCAGGTTCTTTTTGTTTCAGGGTGCAGTGCCCTCACTGGGCCACCGTTAGTGCACCCGCGCTCAGGCAGGACACAGGCTCGCTCCTCTGTGTCCTTTCTCGTCTGACTCTGCGGCTGTTAGCGGCACTCGTCTTCGCAGCTTCACGCGCACCATGCCGGTGCCTGAGGCAACTGAGGTGACAGAGGTGACGAGGTGACTGATGGAGGTGACTGAGGCAACGGAGGTGACTGAGGTGACTGCCGGAGGTGCCGGAGGTGCCGGAGGTGACAGAGGTGACTGAGGTGACTGATGGAGGTGATGGAGGTGACAGAGGTGACTGATGGAGGTGACTGAGGCAACGGAGGTGACTGATGGAGGTGCCTGAGGTGACGGAGGTGACTGATGGAGGTGACTGACAGAAGTGACGGAGGTGACTGACAGAGGTGACTGAGGTGACAGAGGTGATTGATGGAGGCGCCTGAGGTGATGGAGGTGACTGACAGAGGTGCCGGAGGTGCCTGAGGTGACAGAGGTGACTGAGATGACAGAGGTGACTGACAGAGGTGATGGAGGTGACAGAGGTGACTGATAGAGGTGACTGAGGTGACTGACGGAGGTGACTGATGGAGGTGCCTGAGGTGACTGAGGTGACTGACGGAGGTGCCAGAGATGACTGATGGAGGTGACTGACAGAAGTGACAGAGGTGACTGACAGAGGTGATGGAGGTGACAGGTGACTGATGGAGGTGCCTGAGGTGACAGAGGTGACTGACAGAAGTGACGAGGTGACTGATAGAGGTGACTTAGGTGACTGAGGTGACTGACGGAGGTGCCAGAGGTGACTGATGGAGGTACCTGAGGTGACGGAGGTGACTGACAGAAGTGACGGAGGTGACTGACAGAGGTGACAGAGGTGACTGATAGAGGTGCCTGACGGAGGTGACTGCCGGAGGTGCCGGAGGTGACAGAGGTGACTGAAGTGACTGACGGAGGTGATGGAGGTGACAGAGGTGACTGATGGAGGTGACAGAGGTGACTGATGGAGGTGCCTGAGGTGATGGAGGTGACTGACAGAGGTAACAGAGGTGACAGAGGTGACTGACAGAGGTGACTGAGGTGACTGAGGTGACTGACGGAGGTGCCGGAGGTGACAGAGGTGACTGAAGTGACTGACGGAGGTGATGGAGGTGACAGAAGTGACTGATGGAGGTGACAGAGGTGATTGATGGAGGTGCCTGAGGTGATGGAGGTGACTGACGGAGGTGACTGACGGAGGTGCCTGAGGTGACGGAGGTGAATGAGGTGACGGAGGTGACGCAGGTGACTGAGGTGACTGACAGAGGTGCTGGAGGTGCCTGAGGTGACAGAGGTGACTGACAGAAGTGATGGAGGTGACTGACGGAGGTGCCTGAGATGACGGAGGTGACTGACAGAAGTGATGGAGGTGACTGACGGAGGTGACTCAGGTGATGGAGGTGACTGACAGAGGTGCCCGAGGTGACAGAAGTGACTGAGGTGACGGAGGTGACTGACGGAGGTGACTGACGGAGGTGCCTGAGGTGACGGAAGTGACTGAGGTGACGGAGGTGATGCAGATGACGGAGGTGACTGCTGGAGGTGCCTGAGGTGACGCAGGTGACGGAGGTGACTGATAGAGGTGCCTAAGGTGACTGAGGTGACTGACAGAGGTGACGGAGGTGATGCAGGTGACTGACGGAGGTGATGGAGGTGCCTGAGGTGACTGACGGAGGTGCCTGAGGTGACGGAGGTGATGGAGGTGACGCAGGTGACGGAGGTGACTGACGGAGGTGATGGAGGTGCCGGAGGTGACTGAGGAGTGCCGGCGGACCGGAGGGCCTTGGCTGCAGCCCGGGGTCCCCTCTCCTCCTCAGGCGCGGGTGAGGGCTCGCAGGCTTCTCTGTGCGCGGGGTCTCCTGCATCCCGCTCGGGCGGCCTGTAGGCGGCGCCTGCCGACCCCAGTGTCGACCCTTAGGGACCCGCGAGGCCCCGAGCACGCGGCGGGGAATTCTCGCGAGAGAAGCGTGCTGGGGGCGGGGCGTCGCTGTGGGGGGGCTGTGCGGCTGCGCAGTGCGGCCAGTCCTCCCCAGCCTGGCAGGTGGTGAACCAGCTCTCCTCTCCGGAGGCCGCGCGGGGGCGGCCCGGTCCGGCCCTGTTCCGAGACGGCCTGCAGCTGGTTCCGCCTCCACGCTGCGTCGGCCTCGCCGGCCCGCGCTCCGCTAGCCCGTGCGCGGTCAGCTTGGGACGGCGTTCGGATGGCGCGTGACGTGTCCCGTCATTCACTCACGTCCGCACTGCGCGTGTACGGCCTGTATAGCGTGGGCATGCGTGCCCCCTCCTCCAGGAAGCCACCTCCGGCTTCCCCAGGCTGCGCTGATTCGTCTGAGCTCTGAACTCGCCGCCCGGTTCCTGTCGCGTGTATCGCGTGGGTCCGGTTGGCCCGGTTGTTCCAGGTGGGCGCTGCGCTCACAGCAGCCAGCGTTCATAGAGCCTTTGCCGTGGCCGATACACGTGCTGGTGCATGGCGCCCCAGAATTCCGTGGGACAGACTTCCCTCTCCACGTGAGCTTGCTGGTGCGGTGGCTGAGGCAGAGCCCGGGTGAGGAATCGGCAGTGAGATCCGCATCTCGAGTCTGGCCTGGAGCCTCGGGCCTGTCCGCTGCCCCGCACTGCCTGCCGCGCCGGAGTCCCGCTTTCCTCGTCAGTTTCTAAGTGTCTTCTCTCAGAACCTGGTAAGTGCTGGGTCACAATGAGTGGGCTCTGGCTTCGTGGGTGGGTCATGTCCCCTTGATGTGGCTGCTTATCGCTGCACCAGGTGGACAGTCACACGGCCCACGTGGGCCCTCCGGGGAAGTCCCCGAGACACCCACTGGCTTTTCCTTGTTCGTGGCTGCACCTGCTGGGAAGCCATCTGTGTTGGGTCTGCAGGCGTCCAGCATGGTCAGAGGTGCCCTTGGCTCCCCTTTGAGAGCTCCATGTGCCACCCAGTCGGTGGTCTTGGCGGAGGCCGTGACGAGGAGGTCCTAGCGGTCACCAGGTGTCCCCATTTCTGCCCATTTGCAAGCGGTGGAGAACGTGACTGACGTGGTGCCAGAAAACACCGCACTCGCCGTGCAGCGCACAGACAGCAGCACACAGTGGGCCTTCAATAAATCCTCGTCCTGGCGGAGCTGGGAACAAGCCCACTTCACTCCAGCACCTTGGAAGATGGCTGGCTGAGCGCAGCGTGTGGCAGGAGGCCGCTGGAGCGAGGGCTGGGATCCCGCAGCTGACTGCGGAACGAGCGTCAGGCGCGCGCAGAGGGATTTCTCCGACACCTTGTGCGTCACCGACTCCCGAGACAAAGCACCCGAGTCTCCCTGCACCTCGCCTGGGAGATGATAAGCCGTTTGCTGCCGTGTATTGCCAGGCCACATCTGTCGGCAAGTCGAGGAGCATGCTTGCACATGTATGTGCACACGTGTACATGTGTGTGCATATGCACATGCATGCATATGTGTGTGCGTGCAAGTGTGTCTTTATGTGTTGGGAGATGGCTGATGGAGGAAGGCAGTGTTCTAGTATAAATTGCATAAAGAGTACATAATATTTCTTTTTTAAAAAAAATTATTTATTTATTTGAAAAGGCAAGTTACGGAGAGCCAGAGGCAGAGGCAGAGATAGAGAGAAAGCGAGGTCTTCCACCCACTGGTTCACTCCCCACGTGGCTGCAACGACTGGCACTGCGCTGGTTCAAACCAGGAGCCAGGAGCTTCTTCCAGGTCTGCTGCACAGGTGCAGGGGCCCAAGGACATGGGGCCATCTTCTGCTTTCCCAGGCCACAGCTGAGAGCGGGATCAGAAGTGGAGCAGCTGGGACTCAAACCGGCG